CTGCCACACTGCATAGTTATTCTCTACTGCATATTTCTTAGCGCTGATTTTATAAGTCCTAAGAAATGGAGGAATCCCACCATTTCCACTGGGACAATATTACACAGCCTGGTTGCTCTCACTGTCAGGAAACAGTCAGATATGTTGTACTATATGGTAAAAATTTTATTAGTTTCTCCTTTTGACTCTATTTTACATGCTTGGTAAATGTGAGTTAATGGACATAGCTAAAAACTGCAGTGCTTTCTGTCAAGCCTGCAGGTCTCTCAGTGGAGGATACTAACGGCTAATTGCTGTCCAGGGATCCAGGACTGGTTCAGATAATACTGCCCATCCTGCCACCACAGAGGGGTGTACACTATGCACAGGTTGAAATATTAGTTATATGTGTACTGCTCTTGCTCTGCTGATGCTTGGTGTGGATTATGAACTGTTTCGTGCTGAGAACTCCATGGTGAGAGCATGATCCCCTGGGGAATCAGGACGCCGATTCCTTTATTTTGGCCCTGACTGAGGCACATGGCACCATTTCTCTTACTTCACTATTGCCCTAACACATACAACCATTATGGAGAACTTTCCCTGTCTTCCCATGTAACTCCCTCCCTCAGCTGGCCTGGCATAGGAGCTTGGAAGAGGTGGGACAGAGGAAGCCGTGTCCCTTGTAGCCAAAAAGTTCAAGTATATGACTTCGAAGAGAGCCCAATTTGCTTGAACTGTTATTGAACAGATCCATTGAGCGAGTCTTCAGTCTCCCTTGCTACTTGGAGGCAGTCAGACCTGTGAGCAATGGGTGCAGGCTAAGGCCCTTTCACTGAAGAACACATTAGTTCTTTCTGCCTCCAGCCACTGCCTCTGCAGCGCAGCAGCACTACCTCTCCCATTTTGATAAAACTTCCAGAGGATTTTAAAACAAATTTAATTTTTTTTGTCATTTTACAGCAGTTTGGGCACAAACTTGAGGTGTGACTTTGTCTTTCTGAGGATAGCCTTTTGAAAAACAGCAATAGCTCTCCTCTGCTGCCAGAGGTATGTTCTTCTCTAAAGTGATAGATTCTGACATGGAGATGCACAAGATGGGAGCTGTGGGAGCACTCATTCAAGGATGTGATTGTCCCTATGTATTCACATGTAAATACTACTTAGATAATAGAGATGGGTCAGTCACACACTGGATGGTTACTGTGATATACAGTTTTGTCCCCCTGCAGAAATTCTTTTCTACTAATACCACATGAAATAATACAATCTGTAGGGGAAATACTTCCAATTTCCAAAATATCTAAAAAAGTATTCATGTAACTTTTGCAACTTGCTGATGACAGAGTGAGTGAAATAAAATCAATTATGGTATCCTACTTAATTTTTGTCCACTTCTTATATTGGCTGAAGCATGTTTTATAGCAAATTAAAAGCTCTGTGCATTGTTCAGAAACACTGCAGTCAGTTCATGATAGCATTTCCCCTACTAATTCATCTTTCAGTGGCAGTGCTTGTCTATAAAAATTGATTTGGTAAAGGAAGTATGAAGTTCTATGTGACTGTAACAGTACCCATAGTTGTGGAATCTGCGGTGACTGAATTTCTGGATCTAAATGTATTAGTCTCTACTGCTTGAGTGAAAGGACTAGGCCTATTAGTTTGAAGACTATAAATTTCACACATGGTCCAGCTATTCCAGGGGGCCAAAAGCCCACACTTAATTAACATGGGTTATATACATTTCTTTAGGGTCATAGTCTGATACTGTTACTGAAATTAATGGGACTACCTGAGAAGTAAGGTGTGAGCATGGTATCAAAATGTGGCCACTGGTGTTTAGGTCAGTTTCTTTTCTTCCCAAACTCACCATTACATGAACATATTTCTCTTTAAGTAATTTTGTGTGGCTTGCCACTTTGATAAAGGAGACAGAACTGGAGATTAGTTTAAAACTGTTGGAGTCCTAACTAGATCAATGAATTGTCATCGACAAGGCTCTGCTTAGCTGGAGGACTATAACTGTTCTGAACTTACCAGAAGAAACTTATACCATAAAAAGTATGCCATTGCAGAAAGATTTGGGAGTAAGTAAATCCAATACACAATGTCAATTTGACAGTGAGAAATATTAGAGACACAAGGTAGATGAGGTAATATATTTTACTGGACCAACTTCTGTTGGTGGAAGAAACAAGCTTTCAAGCTACACAGAGCTCTTCTTTTCTGTTAGCTCGAAACCTTGTCTCTCTCACCAACAGAAGTTGGTCCAATTAAATATATTACGTCATCTTCCCTTGACTCTCTCATATTCTGGGACCAGCACAGCTACAGCACTGCAAAATAAGAAATATTATAACTTTTCCAGACCTGGTGACATACATTCAGTAAAGCTGCATCTGTACGTTGAGTGTATTTTGAATTACAGAATGTATATTGTAAATCAAGCTTCACTTTTCTCTTTCTCTTCCCATTCAAATAAGACCCATATTGTATAATATGTTTTTGAAATGTTGAAAAGAGGATAACTTTGAGCTGTGGAAATATTTCAGCTTCTAGTAGGCATACTGCTGAATAGCAGTGGGGAGAGAATTATACTAGCATGTTTACTAGTGATGTAAAAACATAGCCATACAATAATTTCAATAGTCAATAACAGAGCTCTCAAATATTTCTTCACTAAGTATTTTTCACCCACCTGATAGCTCTAATGATGGTTTTAAGTGCTGGCGTGAGATCTTCTACTGATACATCACATTGGCATCCTCTCTCATCATAAACATCGTCTGTTCCAAGAGTGGTGTCAGCTACAGGATACATTTGCAAGCTAAATAACAAGCACTTCAAGACAATACCCGTGTACATTTAGGTAGCTTTCCTCTCATGCTGTCTATATTGGGAAATAAAACTACATTAAGGGAACCAAGTTCTGCTGTCTAGTCTAAACCTAAAAGCAGAGAGGAAAACAGAATTTTAGTAATGAGAGACAGAAAAAGGCCTGAGACCTATTAGATCATCAGTCGATCTCCCTGCTAGTGCAGGATTGTTCTCTATAGTCCAAATAGATACTGTAATACCAATACATTTATAATGCAGGTCTGAGTGGCATCTGAGTATATCACATCATGTTCTCTATTTTAGAAAGAAGCAACAGGGTAACAGAAACTGTGGCAGAACCACAATATAGATAAAAGACACTGATATTGTAATGATGAATTATTTGTTATTATTTATATAGCACCATAAATGTACATAGCATTTAACAGAAAAATAAAGGATTTGCTCCCTCTTCCAAAGAGCACATTTATTCTGTGTGAGAACAGCTGAATGACCAAATACTCCACTTCAGGTAAAAACTGTGTTTAACAGAAGAAAGATATAGGATGAAATACATCCCAGTTCAGTTGGTCCACATAAGCCTTCTGCCTCTAAGCCATTTAAGAATTGCCTTTGCCTGCCATAGTGGGAGCTGAGGGAGCTCTCTGTAGTAGCTAGTCTTAGGACGTAGAAGAAATCTGCTTATTTTATGCATAAAATATTTATGCCCTGTCCCCTCCCTAATGAAAGCTTGGATGCCTGCCAAAATTATTAATTAGTTTTAATAAACTATGTAATTATCCTGCTATATTATTTTAAGTTCACCAAAGCTACTAATAATTAAAATAATAACTGAAAACTGTACATAAATGCTGTACTTTCCAGGTGTTTCACACTTCTGTCCCTGATTTAGTCTTTCCAATAACTTCCCACATTTCTGGAATTTCCTGCTTTATCCCTAAATATCATACTAAATGAGTCTCCCTTTATTCTAGTGGTATTTTCACTAAAAATCTGATTCTTCTCACTTACACTGGTGTAAATCAGGAGTAACCCTGTTGAAGTCAATAAAATTACAACTGTATAAAACCAGTGAAAGAGGAGATTCTGGCTTCTGCAGTTTAAAATAAAGTGCATTTCTAAATGGTGGCCTCTATGATACAATTCTTGGATCTTGTTCTAAGTGTAGCTTAATTAATGGAAGAGCTCCTTTAGTGGAACATTGCAAAAAAAAAAAATCTGCATAAAGCTGGTGTTGAATGAGACTCATGCAATCTATGAAATTCTCCAGGTAGTTCACAGACACAAATATCTTCAAAATACATTTATAGATACACAACAAAAAGTTCTTGTAAATTTAAGCCAACACAAAAAAGAGGCACTTTTCTTAATAAATTGCCTTCTTTCTTTCTAATATTTCCATTAGCATGAGTTTCCCTCAGTATGGTAGGAGCTCAACACAATATATCAATGATGCTGCTGAGGAAAAGCTATAAACCTTATTTGATTTATATGAGAAATGGGCATATTTCTTTATAATACTTAGAGACTTGGAAATGCCACCCACTCACATCAACAGGTGGGAGAAATTGATGGGGCTGTTGGTGAAAGGGAAACAGCCATAGTAGCAAGGGAGGGAGACGTTTGCCAATGGACAATAGGTAGCTCCTCCCCCGGGAGTCTCTGGCAGCTATTGCCAGTTGTGGAAGAAGGGTGCTGATTGGCCAGCGTTCCCAGCTCCCAGGATTTAGTCAGTGCAGGGGCCTTGTGGAGCCTCTTTCGGCTCTGTTCCAGCTGCCCACCTTACCCACCTGAACTAGGAATGGGAACCTGGCCTGACAGATACTGCAGGTCTAACCAATCGTCTATTTACAGGGTCAGGAAGGAATTTCTTCTCCCATGGGCCAATTGGCAAAGGACTAGGGAGTTTTTTGCCTTTCTCACAGCACCTTCAACCCACAGTGGTCTGAGTAGGAACACGCTTGGTACCTAGCTAAGGTACTCGGGTGGTGGTGTTTATTCGTCAGAACTTGCGGCTGGTTTCCAGGGCAGTTAAGAGAATAAAATGAATGGTTCCCAGAGGTAAAAGACCTGGGATTTTGGTGATGAGCCTTGGGCTCATGTGACAGGGTGAGTCCTTGTGGCCTTCATGGGGAGAGGTCAGACCTTGTAGCTCTTGTGGACCGAGGCCCCACCATGCTGCACCCTCTGTCCCCCTTGCGGGGGAAAGGGGGAAGAGGGTGTTAGGATTCAGAGAGAGCTGAGTCCTGGGGTGTAAACTGAGGAGAGCCACCCTGTGTTATGAGTTCTATGTTAAGTAGCTCTGTAAACCTGATGCTAGTTACGGATTATATGGTAAGGAACTCTGTAACCCCCACATTGGAACCAATTAAATGCCTGGTATAAGAGAATATAGGTGATGGGCAGGTAGAGCCCCTCCCCATGTTAAAATTTAACAAAATTGTAATCCCATGCATATGTCTGTCCTCATTTTGCTGCTGTGTCCAAAAAAGTTTGGGAAGCATGTATTAAGAAGAATTTGGAAAATTTTCCAATTTGCATTCCTGATGAAATAGAAGTTTATGCTCTGATTAACTTTCCAGTGGAATTTTATGGACATGTATGCATTCCATTTATGAATTTCACTGCCATTTATGATTATGCAGAGATATATGGGATAAAATTATGATGTGAAACCCCACAAATTGCAAATAAAAATGTATGAGTTCATAACTGTATGTCATATGGTTTGGTGCACAAGTTATGCCTTGGTTTTGATTTATATTTTCCAAATGCCATATGTGTTTTCTGTTGTTTAGCAATGTACTTTGGCTACAGTAAAACTGACACTGCTCTGATCTTCCTCACAGCACTATACTAACAATGTTAGTGCCATCCAAAGCATATCTGCCTGTTCAAGAGAAATGAAAAGCTTTTATCCTCTTCCCTTTCATTTGTTTCCTGGGAACAGCCAGGTGCTAGCAACAATATTCCAGTATTGATCAAAGTCTAGAAACTCAGTCTGTCTAGCTCTGAACCCCTAAAATAATATGAACAGTAAAGTCTGATCTTGTTTCTGAAAGCACCAGGACAAATACTACACAATGTTGCACTTAGATACTATGTTAGACTACTCTAGATATTGTATGCTCAGATCAAATAAACACACACACACACACAACTGTACAACATAGTATGTGTTCCAAATATTTACATAAATTATTGAAACTCTTTCCTATCAGTTTAAACCAGGCTTTTGACTATATATTATGGAGGTAATAAATATTTAATATAGAAATTAAATTGCAAAAATATGGTTTAATATTTTAAACTTAATTAAAACCTGTGTGTGTGTGTATGTGTGTGTGCACGCACGTGTGTGCAAGTATGTGGCTATTGTTTTATTTCTCAAACATGAAGCAGGCGTGAAGCAGTATTGGGTCTGGAGGAGGTTTTAGGGAAAAGTTGTACCGCTAGACAGACAGAAAGACAAATAATGTTTCAGTGTTAAACATTCTTTTTTCAGTGTTAGAAGAACGACTTTTTCTGTGATTCTCTCATTGTCATATGACACTATGGTGAATTTTACTTTCAAAAGTTTTACAATGTTGCTGAATTCATTTGTACATTCTAAGGTGATCTGATTATTTTCCCCTTACATGATTAACTCTTAGGGCTAGCTCCACAAAGGGATTTAGGTGCCACCTTAGGCACCTATGTCCAAATGTTTAGAAAATCAAACTCTCTGCTCAGTTGCCACCTAACCCTGTAGGCAAACCCCGTAACCCTAAATTCCCTAGATGCCTTAGTTTCTGCTGATCATGTCTCCTAGGTGCCAACATTTCTGCTGGAGGACATGCTCAAAGCAGCCTCAGTCCTGATGCCCATGCTCATGCCTCCCAGCGGGAGCCTCAGATTGGACATTGTCCACCTGTCTCACCTGTGGGGCTTAATTCAGTAGGCGTACTGAGGAAGGGAGAGTGCAAGCAGGAAAGAGAGTTTTTGACTCCATAGTCTAGTGGCTAGGGCACTCACCTAGAATGTGTGAGAACTGATTTCAAGTCCCTACTCCAATGAACATTTCAGTATTTTATACAAAGTGGAATCTTCAACAGGGGAGGCTGAGGGAGACCCATCCCAGAAAAGCCCCTAGCCTAGTGGTTAGAGCACTCACCTGACAGTTGGGAGAACTGGGTTGAAGTCCGTGTTCCACATCATGAAGAGTGGGAATTTGAACCTAGGTCTCCCATATCCTTGCTGAGTGTGCTAGCCACTGGCCTATTGGGTAAAAGAGGGCCATCGCCAGTTTTTGTGAGAAAGGACTGTCCTGGCCTCAGTGCTTAACTCCAGCTGACAGTTCACAGCTGTGAATCCTTGTAGAGGGAGGTACCTCCTCATAAATGCCTAATTCCCTTTGAGGGGAGGGGCTTAGGCAATATTTCTTTAAGATAAGAAGCCTTGTTTTTATTGGTTATCAAATAATTCATGCATGATCCTAAAATCTAAAATTCTGCGTGTATAATGAACATTGCATAAAGATTCCTATCTAATAATTATCAGTTAGCTTTTAGTTGCTATTAAACTTCCAAAAAATGCCCTGTAGAAATACTGGCAATATTTCATGGAATGGCTCCCGATACTTAATTAAAAAGGAGTTCCGATGATAGAATCAGAATTTTTTCTAAAAACAGTTAATTATATACACCATAATTCTACAGTTAAAATTGCTGATCACATCATAATAGTGAATCACTAACTGATCTGTTATTAACTTGCCATAAAAGGAGAGTAAGAAAGAAGGATGATTTTGTTTTGATTCTTTTCAACTTTTAAAATTCTAAAATTTTAAAAATCTATATCTAACTGATATGTATCGATATAGCTATACACACAAACATATCTCATACCTATGTAAACAGCACACATGTTAAGGTATAGCCATGTAAGAAAGTGCAGGCTATGTGATAAAGTGAAGAGCTATGGGGGAAATATCATGCATCTTTGACTGCATCATTTGTTGTACTCTGCCCACAAAACCGCTCTGTTGGTGTGAGCTCTGAAATTCCAAACCCCTTGTCCTTGGGGGTGAGGTCACCACAGGAGAGTCTTCAGCCCAAATGCCCAGTTTTGGTCAGGGTTAGCAGTAGCAATGACTTCACCCCTGCAAGCACTCACCCCATTAGGGCCAACTTCGTCCTGGGCTTGGCTCCCTCTCCCTTTCTATTAAAAAAGCAGAGACTCCAGCTGCTGGGTAATGGTAATGAGGGTACTTGGCTTTAAACGCAGAAGGTTATGAAGGACAGTACCAACAACATTTTAAAAAACTCTAATGCATTCCTACAATAGCAATATATTTGGCATATGCAGAATACATGCCGTGCAGTATGATATAATGGCTAAATCGGCAGTATGATATAATGGCTAAACTCAATTCATGGTTTCACCACTCATGTGTGTGTGGTCATGTGAAATTAATTCAGGTAAAACCTTTGTACCACACCACATTGCATTCACTCTCTCTCTCTCTCTCTCAGAGCCCAATTATGCAACTCTTATTCATACTGCTAAACAGTCCCTTTGAAGTCATTGAGTACTCATCTATATGAGTAAAGTTTGCACAATCAGACCCTCAATATGTATTGTAGATATTCACATTGAATGACAGAATCATAGGGCCAGACCATCAGTTGATGTAAATTGAAATAACTCTATCAAAACCAATGGAGCTATGCTGATTAACAGCAGAAGAAGATCTGGCTCATAGAGTTCAAATTAGAATGGTGGATTATGTTTTATAAGATCTTACTAATTAATTACAGTGTAAACTATATGAAAATTAGAGGAGATATGTTATCGGTTTAAACAGTCACAGAAATATTACCCTATTGACTGACATCAATTAACATATTGCTAACAGTATTACAGCTTTTTATCCCAAGGTATTAGATCATACAAATCCAATAAGGAGACTAAAGACACCAAATGGGTTAACTCTTAACCAGTAATTGCTAACTAATGAGGGCTTAAAAACAACTAAACTAAGGACCTGCCCCAGATCAAATGAACTCTAGATGAGGGAAAGTTGTGTGTGTTATTGAAAGAAAAACTGTCATTTTTATAATACATAAATTATATGGTAATAACTAAGTATATGGGGGATGAAGTATACATTTGCATTCTTTCCATGATTTTTATAATCTACTCACCCTGAGGATTCAATGTAAGTACTCTCAGGGGAATGGAAGGGCAGAGAGTTCATGTGAGTTTATAACTTTCTGCCGTTAAGTTTAGAGATAAGAACAGAAATCAACTATTTCCTTGGAGAGGCCTTTTCAATTAATCAAATGAAATACGTCTGTAATTTCTCAAGTGTTGAACACTTTGATGTTTTATTCAATGAACTGTGCAACGTCTTTAGGTTACAGAGAATGCTAAATATCTCCTGCAAAGGCTCGAAAATGGTGGAATACAATGGTGGAATACAATGTAACAGGGTGTGTTGGCCCTTATAGAAGGCTACAGCCTCTTCCTAATTTCATCTCAGAATGGGCGAAAGGGTGATTATTAGACTATTTAGGAATAAATAGAAACCAAAGACGCAGCAAGACCTGGAGTAGGGCTTTCCACCAGGAGAGCTGGGGAAGCAGCCCTGGAGAGTCTGTGGAAAGGTTCTGTGAAGAGACAGGAAACACAGGGAAGGGTAAGTTGTTCAAGGCCTGATGAGGCAGGAGAGAACAGAGCTTCTCATTCCTATGAGGGATAAGATTTTCAGTAGAATCAGAGACTGTTAGTGAGTCCTGCACTAAGGGGATGAAGATTCAGATGTGTGGGAAAGTAAGTGAAGGAAAGGCCTGAAGCAATGCAGTAGTGCAGTGGGCTGGAGGCCTGTTGTTAGCACCTGCCTTTATCTAGGGATGCCAGGCTAGAGCTTGCAAGAAAATGTGGGAGGAAGCCCTTTTCACTCCCCTGTGTTAAGGACGGAAGAGCAAGGTAGGAAAGGACTACTGAGTTGTTTGGTTCTGGAAGGATGAAGAAATTCCTTAGCCTGGGGAGGTTAGTCAATCATTGGTACCTGCCTTTCATCAAAAGAGATGAACCCTGATACAAGAAATGGACCACTGAGCTCCTATACTAATAGGTGACAAAAGGCACGGCTCAAGGAGGGTCAAATATGCGTGGTGTTTTGTGTTTGGATGTTTGTTTATCCCAGAAAGGGAGGGTTTCTGCTTTGGTTGGAGGACCAAAGTACCAAAATCACCCGGCCAAATAGCCAGCGGAAGATCATCATAAGGAAGGAAACTGAGGTAGTGACCTGACACCTTGGAGGTAAGAATACATTACTACAACAAATCAAATGCTGTCGTTCCATTCAGTAAGAAGAAAAAATGTTCTAAGCTAAACATGCAGTTTATACACAGTCTATTGAACATCCACCTGGAGACAGAATTTAATAACTGTGGAATCCATAGCAAGTGAGGAAAAATTTTGAACACACCAAGGTTGGTAGTGCATATCTGAGGGATAAAAGCAAGGCTGAAGAATGTACTGTGTGAGGTTGTTAAGTGTTGCCTATAAGTAGTAAGCAAGCTGGACATCAGTTTGATGACACTGATCCCAGAGGTTGCTGGACTGAGTCCTACAGTGGAAACTTTACCAAAAAGCTGGAGTCACTTAAAGCTGTTGCTCCTTCTGCTGTAGAAGAGAAATGGACATATCTATTGGCTGTTGTACATAATGGTGGATGTGCAGCTGGAAACTGCTGACATGCATACAGTCTGTGGTTACTCTGAGGAACTGGAAAGTATTTAAGTGTATTGTGAAGAATTATAAACTATATTTAGTTTTTATCAGTAGAGATTCCTGCAGATGCAATTCATGGCATCTTTTCCCTAAAATAAAGACTGCACGGGAAGTTCCTACTTATTTTGATGAGGCTTCAAGACTATAAGTTACAGTATGTCTAGGGGAAAATATATGGCAATGTTTGCAAAGTTTGTTCAATGAGCATGGAGAGGAAATGAATCCCTCAATGTGATGTGGCTAGAGAATGAAAGATAGGAGTATAAAATAAGTGGTAAAAATTAAAAGGAATATTACAACTGTGCTCAGCAAACTGCACTGGTTGTCAGTTTATGTCTAGGTGCAGTTCATGGTACTGATTTTTTTTACCTATAAAGACCTTTCTGGTTTGTATCTTACTGACCACTTTCTGTTCCATTGTTCTATCATAGCCGTTGAGATCAGCCGGGGCTGCTCAACCCCCAACCTGAAAGTCTCAGGATTTGTACATCTGAGGATTCTCAGAGAAGGACCCTAGTCTCTGGATTGCTGATCCTCAGATGGTCTGCTTGTTTTGTTTTCAGCCATGCAGGGAATGTTGCTAACCCTGATTATTTACTGAGGCTTTTCCTGAAGAGGTCTGTTGAGTAGGAGGCTCTTAGTTGTGGTCTACGGTGTATTTCAGTTCTATGTATGTGCTAATATGTGCTCTTAAAGGGATGCAGATAGCTAAATCACACTCGGCTGATTATTTTTGTTACCCACAATTATTAGAAGTTACATACAGTACATGATTACTGTCATGAAAAGAGATTAGCGACGTCTCTATTTTGCTGCTTCCCTTGTATTTCCCTATCCTATTGTTTACATGTGGGCCTTTCAGGGGGAAGTCAAATCTTTATAAAATAGGAAAATGTGATTATAGAAACCTAAAATTGCCAGGGAACACTCAGGCAACTGTAATACCAAAAACTACTTTTAACTCACTTTTTTTGAAATTGATTATATTTCAAGTTGAACTTTGACAGACTACAAGTTGCTTGGCTCTCCCTATTCTTGGCTGTCACTAGGCTCCCTTGCTATCTTAGTCCTCTAGCATTGCATCTGGTCTCCGCATCCTTGGTTCTCCTGGACTAGAGGGGCCACTGGGTCCATGTTGATGCAGCATCATAGAGGAAGATCTTTGATGAAGTGAGGGTTACATTAGTGGAAAAACGGGATCTTTGTGAAAGTGCTTAGCTGTTGAAGGAGAAGGGGAGAGGCATAACCTCAGGTCCTATGACTCTCTTATACCTTCCCTAAAACAGGAGTCAATGTAGATGAAACTTGGAATCTCCATTCTGTGGGAAATTCTGACACTTCAAAATGTCCTTACACAAAACCTTGATCTTGTTTATCTTTTATTTGTTAAGGTTGGTCTATACATAATTTGCCTAAGATAAAACCACAAAAATAAGGAAATGAAAAGTTAAAGCATATAATAGTACATCTCCCTCTTCTGCTCAGAGACACAAAGCTCACCACTAGCACCGCCACCAAACAGTACACCACAGAAAAAGCACAACAGCTTGAACTCTAACCTAGTCGGGAAGCCAGCTTTCCAGTACCCCCCTCTCCAAACTCGAGTATCTGCAGTGGTTTCCTAGAACTGTGGAGAATGGATGGTTGTGGAAGTCTGGCTGGTTTGTGGTAAAGGGGACATGGGGACAAGGCATAATGGAAAATACGCATGAAAAATATCTTACCATCTGCCACTGGTTTTGGCTGAGAACTCTTCAGACGCAGTGAAGGTCTGAAACGAGTTCGGTCATTGAAGCTCCAGCTCTTTTGCACTTTGGTTGGGCTGCTCTCTGCAGTAACGTCAGTACCTGGTGACCGTCGATCTCCAACTGATGCCTGCCTGTTCTTAATACTCTGCCCTCTTGGGCTAGCCATCCGTACCCGCTCTTTAAAACTTAACTTCTGGCTGTGAAAGAGAGAAGGATATATTATTTCATGTTTAATTCATTCCAATTTCCTTTTTAATGCCATAGACATATAGATATATTTATTTCCAGCAACTAAACTAAAGATAGCACGATGTAGATTTTTAACCAGTGTTTCATGGAATATATTCATTCATTGGGATAACGCTCATTTGAAATAGTATAATTCTATAGAGACATTATCATTGATAGTGTATAGTGATTGCAGTGATAGTGTATAGTAAATCTAACAAAATGTAATCCAGTAAAAATGGTTTAACCTTACAGACATACTTTTAAGGTTAGGACTTAAATTTTAGATGATTACAAATATATTTCCATGTAAGACAGCCCAGCTCAGTGCATTTCTGATCATCTCTACAGATAAACAAGACAAATTGTTCTATTATTTCTGCATGCCATGTAGTTTTTGTTTTTTAAACAGGCAAGATTAATGTTATTGTTATGTTCATGCATTTTCAAGTCATGACATTTTCCAACATTTCATACACATTATTAATGATCACATAAATTTAAAAGTCTTTGTTACAGCATTCATTTGGACAAGACAAAAACCAAAATGAACAACCCTCCCCACAGAAATGTTATTGATGTGATGGCTGATTCACAAAAATGTGATATTATACTGTATGTTTAATAAAGTAATTTCCTGTCTTTGAGCTGGGAACTGATCAGCTGGAATAGCCACGAGCAGATGGTACTTTAGGACTAGTCAGCTGCAATAGCCTGGCCACGCTAGTGATTGTGACGGCTTGATCTAAGGTGGCCTGTACATTGGGAGAGCTACAGGAAGAATGCTTTTCTTCATGCGCCTGTGACTTTTCCCTTCTACTTACCCATGGGTAAGATTTTGGGAGCTCCTAATTTACAAAATGTACAATCCAGCTTTGTTCATGTTTGTATGTGCTATGTAATGTACTTGATTCGATCACTCTGGCTGTTTTCATGTAACACTTTTCCATATTTATTTATTTATAATTTGAACTATTCATTGTCACTATTTTACATCTGGGACACAAATAGGAAACGGAATGGAGTAATCCACTTTGAACCTGTGTATGTAGTTTGGAGGCATGAAGATGTGTTGTATATACATGATTAAGTTCAATAATCTATACAAGGGGAAAGTTTTCCTGCACAATGATCCTATTCTTGCAAGGGAAGGGGTTGACACACACAATTGTATTGTGGCTATATAACAAATGTGGGAGTTTTCTGTAATATTTTTATGAACAATGTGTGTGTCCCCATCTGTTTTTCTATTGTTACCTACTGGATATAGAGGGGTTAAATTGCTTTTCCTGGAATTGAGCAGGAGGTATGAGGTGTTTGGGCCATGTAGCTGTCTGGGGTAGTAGGAATGCACCATTGGGAACTGGGCTGGACTCAACCCAGATGAATGGAAGATCCTCCTGAGGCAAGGGAATCTCAACAACCAAAGATTAACTCCTAGCTGCAGAAGTAGCTGAACGTGTGAACACAGCATGGCTGTGTCTGGAGAACAAAGACACAAAGGTGTCAGGTGTTTATGTTAAGAAAAGCAGGGTTCCAAGACACAGGGAAGCTCACTGGGGACTTAGAGACAAAGGGAATGGGGCAGAGGAGATAGGAGGACTCCTTAGGGAAATAGGGCATGGCAAAAGCTTGTCTCCCCTCAGTGTGAAACCTGTCCTAAATCTGCATCTCTCAGAGTAACCCAAAAGACTTTCAGCCTCTGTATTCCAGGTCACTAATAAATTGTTATTTTATTTTGAAAAGTCTGCCTGCTGTTGCTGCAGATATTTACTGAAGAGCACTGTGCCCTGAAGCAGGGGGAAAGTATCTTGCAGGAGTCTGGCTCGGCTGGATTGCTGCAGGCAGCCATCGAGAGACAGGGATTGGTGGGGCTTGAAGGCCTAGTTTTGGAGTTGTGGAGGCCACTGGCCTGTTCCTGTGGATCAGTAGGGATCCTTGGAGTCGAGCACACTAATGGGATTTTCCTAAGGAGACCAGTTAAAGGCTGGGGCATAGACCAGACCCTGCGAATCCATGACAGGTCACTCATAGGAGAGCCTTGTGTGAATTTATTGACTCTAGCAAAAGGGACATGGTGCTCCAGTGGCAATAAACCTTTTTGGGGGTCATGGCAAAGACTATCTGCTTGTTGTTCATTACATTGAGATGCAGCCTGTTCTGCTTCCTCGTGGTTCCTGTATTTTACTATAAGACACTAAAAAGAAGTGTTTTGAACAGAAATGTATTTTGCAACTAAAAAGAAATATTAAAATGTACTGTTCCATGTCTACCTGCTTAACAAACTATATTCTGAAAAGACAGCGTTCTCATATGTAACTATATGAAATGGAATCACATGAGCTTCTGAGGTTATGAAATTTTCAGATAATCAGACAATCTTTGTCCATGCATCGTACTATGTCTCATACAGCTGAGACTGGCTGAGAGGCAGTAGGCGGCAAGCAAAGCACATGCTGAGCAGCTTATAATGAGGTCAGTTTCAAGAATGCTATAAAACATCAGTAGAAAGATCTTCATTAGACAAATATGGCATGTTATATCCCTTTAAAGAATACTTGTTTCTGAAATTTCTCAATCTAATCCCTTTCTCCCCCTGCCCAAAGTAAGCAATTTTTGAAACAAACATGGGATGATACTGGAAATGTCATCTCTTTCCATTGCAAAATATTAATCACACCTGGAACACTAAATCCTGTAGTGTATTGAATACAAAAGACCCTCAGAACCTATAATCTGAAAGAAAAGCAAGTTCTAAGGTTTGTTTTACAGTAACAGTTACAGTTCAAGGCTCTGTTCAACTCTCAGTAACTTTTGTTTATAAACTGTCATGAGAATGTAATCTAGGAGGCAGTCATTTAATAGCCATACTACAATGTATTCACACTAGCGTGAATGAATTACATAATGCAAATATATTTCTTATTATGGGTACTATCTCTGTACATGTGCTCCTCATATACTGCATTTGCTGTGCCCAGAGGTAAAAAAAAATTAATTATTCCTCAAGCAAGAAAATCAAATGATTATTTTCTAGAGAAACCCTATAAAGCAAAAACTTTCTGGACATGTCACTCTGGCCTACATTAATTTAAATGATCAGAAAATTGATAAGGTAGCCATAACAAGGAGTGATAAGGACTATATTTTATTACCCCAGTAAATGCAAGCAAAAAATAATTGGATGAAGAGTATGTATTACTGCTGCTAAATCAACTCATTTATACTAATACAAATCTCTTTTCTCTCATTTTTTTAAAAGATGTCATGGATGTAGTGCCTTGAATGAAAGCCATCCTGTTGATGTCCAGTAGAGACAAACATGACATCATGAAACTGGACGGGGTAGACTGTGGCGTGTGCTCACACATTGCTGTGGACTGTCAGTTTTCTGGGATTAGTGCTTGAGGGCCCTCTTAGCCTCCATGTAAGGGTTCTTGTAACCTGAATACTGACTCAGATGGCAAAAGCTTTAAGGCACTGATTTAGGGAAGCAAATGGTTAAGTGCTTTCCTGAAGAGGCGTGGTCTTTTGAATCAGGGTCCAAGTGTCCAGAACCTGAATGAGCCCCATTATCCCCTACCCTATAGCAATTTTGTTCTTTTTGGGGGGATGAGACTGTTCTTTGTTGCTTATATTTTATCTGTTCAATCTTTTATGCCTTTCTATTTGTTGACTTTGACAATGGTAATCTTCTTGGACCTACTGTGTTCTTTTGCTGCCCGTTGCAGAATTCTGTATATTTCTCTAGCTATAGTACTGGAGCTTTAAAGTCTTGGAGGGCAAGTCTACACTACGGCACTACATTGGCGCAGCTACACGGATGCAGCTTCACCGCGGTATCGTGTCTGGTGAAGATGTGCTATGCTGACGGTACCTCGGCAAGAAGCATAAGCTATGTTGGCGGGAGAGCATCTCCCGCCGACATAGTGCTAGTGTGGACAGTGCAAAACTTCCATTGCTCGGGGGGAGGGGCTTTTTCACACCTTTGAGTTAGATTGACTCAGGGCTGGTCTTCACGACGGGGATATCGACGCTGCTGCAATCGATGCAGAGGGTGTCGATTTAGCGAGTTTAGTGAAGACCCGCTAAATCGATAGCAGAGCACTCTCCAGTCAACCCCGGTACTCCAGCTCCCTGAGATGATTAAGGTAAGTCGACAGGAGAGCGTCTCCCTTCGATGCAGTGCAGTGAAGACACTGGGGTAAGTCAACCTAAGCTATGTCGACTCCAGCTACGTTATTCATGTAGCTGGAGTAGTGTAATTTAGGTCAACTTACCCCCACAGTGAAGACAAGCCCTTAAGCAGTAATGTAGACCTGCCCTAAGAGTGGGGATCAGTTACAAATGGAACCTTTGGACAAAAGAAAATGACTTCTTTTTAATTTTTGTACTCTGAAGGTATTAGTTATAACATCTCACCCACTTAGTCCCCGACTCCACTGCTCAACATACACATGAACTGTTCTCTTGCATAGGGCTTTGTACTCCTTTTAATTTTTCCCAAATTCTTTATTTTCTATCCTTCACTTATGAAGGAACTGCTTGGGGGAAGACACTAGGGGTCACTGTGGCTTCACTGGAGGGGTAGTGAGCAATATTCTCTAATGGACCAAATGACTTTATGAGCCTGATTACTCCAACGGGGTGCACATGACTCCTATTGAAATCAACCTGAGGCCCAAACATATATTTGATAACCCAGCCCTAGAAGTTTAAGATGTAAGACTTCTCCACCAGCCTCATGCTAGAAGTGTGAACCCAAGAATGGTGATGTTATACCTTGTACCATCTATGAGCATAGGCAAGAATTCCAAGAAGTAATTTTAGTTTAGATTTCTATGCAGTAATGGAATTTTAAAAGATTACATTTGAAGCTTTTTGTGAATGGTGTTGAAAAATAGTGCATTTATTTCAAATTAGTCTCTGGACAAATAGAAACTATATTTTTGCTCATTTTATAATTTCAGTCTGAGATTATAATGACTTTTTGAAATCATTAAAAAAAAACTTTAAAAAAATTGATGTAGCAAGTTTTTGGCATAGAGCAGAGGATTCTCCCCTGAGATTCATAAGCTAGAAATTACCATGTTTGGCAAGAGATAAAAAGGTCAACAGAGTCCAGTTGAAGCAAACCATTGTTTTAGCCTGCAGTCCTCTACGCTCTAGATAATGCACTGATTCAGGCACTGTCTCCAAGGGAATTCTTCTCAGTAGCAACCGTAAATTTAAGTTATTGAAATAGCCTAGTGTGTGATACCTTAGTATTCCCCACTAATTAACATTTATTTGACATGGGAACACAGCCTCCACTGTTGCAGTAATCCTCTTGGATTTAGGAAAATGTAGTTATCCAAATATCCAAGAACTGTTTTAGCTCTTTATAGGATCAAACATTCCAAAAGTTCAAGTTTCAGGCGGAAGAGGGTACCCAGGCTTAGAAAAGCCAATGTGTGCTGCACTCTGCAGTTGTCAATTGCATGAATTTTGAGGTGCTGACACACTATACTATAATATACAACACTTTATCGCCATTGTATTAATACAGCACGGCAGGCAACAAGCAATAGGGAAAATTACAAGCACTTAAAAAAAATCAAGAAAGGACCCTAGGAGAAGTAAGAAATTGTAAAGCACTAAGAAGGGGAAGTAAACTGATCATGCACCTGATGTTAGTGGCATTCTCAAATATCATGTGAATAGATAGGATGCTGGATACCTATGTTTCCGAGAGCTGTACATCCTGAAGAGCTTCTGTTTATTACTACAAAGCTTACTAGGAGTGAGGGGAAATAGAGGTTTGTATTACTAAGCATTCCACTACTAGGAAAGGAGTTAGGTTTTCCATTTAAGCCAAGACAGGTTCCAGATCACTGACAATTCTTTTTTCACAATGGTGGAGGCAAAAATAATAAACAAGGTAATTGTTTAATTTTAAATCTGCTATGAGAAACAAATACAATATTGTATATGGAGATTCTAAAATATAATACATTTGAAAGAACCAATCAAAATGAGTAGTAATAATAGGTCTTTTCTTGAACTCCAATGTAGGCAAAACTCCCATGGACTGTAATGGAGACTATTGCTAGAGTAATGGATGCAGGATCAGGCCCACTATTTAGTACTTCTATTTAAAAGAATAATAAAAACCTACACTACTTGGGTGAAATTTACTTTCCTACAGAGAGAATCATCACAAGGCCTATGCACAACTTGAGGCTCCTGTAAGGTCTGAATATAGGGCTTAAGTGAAATGTTCTGCACTGACCTTGTGCTAGTCCTCTGCTCAGGGGTGAATTTCACTCATGATGAATAAATTGTTAAATATATATATGAATGCCGTGTATAGGAATTCAGATTTAAAATGGCTTGCAGAATTCTAACACTGATTTACAGAATAATTTATTTTACAGAAAATACTAGAAAAAATATAGTCTAATTTTATAAAAGAGAAAAAACAAAACAGCACTTCTATATAATATTTAGAAATACTAAATATAAACTGTTGTGCATTTTCTTAGCAAAATTAATGTTCATGTATAGCTCAAAGGCTCAATTCTATCCTCCAAACACAGAGTGACAACTTAGCCACACACTGAAAGGTTCTAGGTCCAAACAGAGTTAATGAATGAAAAATGTTATAGTATGTCCAAAATTAATTTTTATAGGTAAGAAATTAAAATAATTTTCAGATAAACGGACAAACATTTCTTGTTTGTTTTATTAAAACAGAATTAAGAAGAAAGAGCATGTTCACAAAGCAACCCAATGCAGTGCGAATACAAATACATTTTAATATAAAGAAAGACACCATTTATTTAGTTCACATAGCATCACATGCAAGTCACTCAGCATCACAGTAAAAAGAAGTTAAAGACTAGAGGATAGTTAAGTCTAGAAAGTGCATTGCAGAACACTGCATTTACATATTTAATGCAAAAGACGACATTCATTACATATATTTTAACTGATGTAAACATACAGCCATACAACACTGTAAGAACTATTAATAGCCACTGACAACAATACAATACTTAACTTCACTTAAAAAGGCACTAAATGGTCAGGGTTTACACTAAAGTCAAAGATATCAGTTAAAAATTAAAAATGATTGATAATCTTTAAAAATTTTCAATTGTATTTCTTTTTCTTTGGGAAAATTCAGTTTTAACATGCTATTGTGTATAAGCTGTTGCAAAGTCTTTTAATGCCACGCAAAAAAGTGCATTTTGAAACCTACTCAATATACAGCAATAACAGAAAATATTGGTTGAGATTTTCAAAGGGGATATGGCCACACATCTTCCATTAGTATTAATTCAATGAAAAGTCATTGAAGATATATGGTTAAATCCCCTAGACTACTTTAAAAATATGAACCATTATCTTAATCATAGGATATACTATCATCTTGATGTTCAGGGATTTATATGTGTAACTTCTATTAATGGTAAAGGGAACTGTGTGTATAAATGCTCACCTATCAAGGTGGGAATAATTCCTTTCTCTTTTGTCTAAATCATTCTTTTTGAGAACATAATGTAAGGGGATAAGTAATGACCAACCACACCTACTAATGTCTTTTTATAAAATCTGAAATCAGTTTTTGAACACTGTTGTTAAAAATAAAAAGGAAGTATGAATAGTGTTCGTAGAGTTTTGATGACATGTTATACTGTTCAGTGTAAAAAGAGTAAATTGTAAGCGGGCTCAATGCGGGAAGACATTTATATATGAAAAGACACAAGCTTGACAACAATATCAAGCTGGTTATGTGTGAAAGACAGACTAAATAAAGTGGATGTAATGGATATCTTAGAATGGATCTAGTGACCTCAAGAGGTATGTGTGTAACGTTAATAGGAGTTACATGCACATCAAGAGAAGAATCAGAATTCTGTAGCTTCAAAAGCGAGAAAGAAAAGTGGCAAGTTGCAGGGCCACTAGGGAGATGGCAAGCCCATGTAAACAAGTTCACTTAACTTTCATGTTTTAGACTGTTGGGATGTCCAAACTCCTCAAATGTGGCTCCACAGCCCATAAGTATTACAGGACTGTAATATGTCCCATGTGCAGCTGCACTTGTGGGCTGGTTTGGCTCTGGACTATATTTTATTTCTTTTCAAAAAATGTTTTTGGGTGTCATGAGGGGTGGGATAAGCTCCACCATTCCTTCCTCGGTCACTTTTGTACTGGAGAATTGAATCCTGAACACCCTATGATGATGGATTCTCTGAAATTAGAAGGCCAGATTCAAAGATGCAGCTACAACTCCATCAAAATCAATGGGAGTTGTGCTCATCTATCTTATGGCAGAATCTGGCCCACAGACTCTGAACTGGAGAAAATGCTTCAGTCATTATTCTGCAGTTACTAGAACTGAGATCTTTCCTCAGAATAGGGGTGTGCTCTGTGGCTATGAAGATTAGTAGTGCCCTAGATTTTCCCATGGGAAAACGGAGACAAGAAGGCAAATTTCTGCTAAATTAGGCTGCTAATGTAGGACAAAAATGAGATTTCAGACAATAGTAATAGAAGTTTACAGAAATGATTTTCCAACTATTACAACTTCGTGTTAGCCAACATATTTTGAACCAACTGTACAAAAGACATTCAAAACCCCGTTATAAAATTTGGAGATTTAAAAATATATAACAAATAGGGAAACCACAAACCTGTTAGAAGTTTCCCCTTGTTCTTTCCTTCAGGTGTCAGGGTATGGGAAGAAAAAACAAATTTGTTATGCAAATAGTAATTGTTAATACTCAGTTACAGATGGTGTTAGATAAATGCTAAATTGTAAATGGATGTGTTAATTAAATTAATGTGAAATACACAGGTTATAGTGCAAGCACAAAACATTCAAGCAACATTCAGAACTACAATATTTCTGAAAAATAAACTTCTCAGTCACCTTAATACATGCATAACGTGCTTAATACATACCACTGCAGACTGAATTGGCAAAGCACTTACTTAGGCAAAATGCATTGGTGACACATATATAACAGAAAGCTGTAGACTTTTTATTTGATAAAGTTATCTGCAGTAATGAAACATGTTTGACTGATCACAGCAATGGATTTATTTAAAATCATGATTATTATGCTTATTTTTCTTGGGCTATAATTGCATTCAAGACTATTTCAGATAGGATATAGCTTATTTATATAGCTTCATATTAATTCATCTAATCAAAAGTCGCCCTATACCTGAATATCTATTTGTCGCAAACAATATTTCACATTTATTAAAATCAATATTTGTGAACTCGGTGATAACTTTTAATCTGAAAGCTACTTTTAGTTTGAAGTATTCAGGATGAATACTTGTGGTAATGGATCACTTATGGCTCAGTTCTTGTCAACTCTTTGAAATTCACAGATCAGCTTTCTGTAGTCAGCCAACCCTTTTTGGCTAAATTTATCTGGCACATAATCTTCTCTTTACTGTTGTGTGGGTGTTCATCACACTAGTTTGAGATGAACAGCTGGTCTCTTGCACTGGCCATAATAACAACAATAGTAATACTTAGGACTTCTATTGCACCTTTCATGCAAGGCTATCATTGTGTTCCTTTCAAAGCTGTACTTAGTACCCTCCATTCCAAAGTATATGCCCCAAATTTGGGGCAGTGGCTTATTGCCTTGTGTTAAATTTTTCAGAACTACTGAACAATCTTGGACCATTCCTCTTAAAAGGTGAATTTCTGCCAAAGCACTGAGAATTTTCATCCAAGTTGTGACATCAATGTACTCTCTATTGGCCAAATTCTTACATTAGAGGTACAGTATATGATTTTATTCTATTGATTACATGTGTGTATATCCAAGGACATAATATCCCCTAACTAAACTCTTAGTGTATCTGAAGTTATGACTAAAAGCTACATTCCCAAGAGGTGGAATGTCATAAAGTTATTTGCCACTTTGGAAGCACAGATGTTTCTAAAGCCTCATAGTACAATGTAGAATAATACTGCCCATGAGAATAAAGAGCAGTCACTGCATTAATTATATTGCCTGTGCTCCCCTACAGAGGATTTGCCACTGGAGAAGTAAACATGCTGATTTCAAAGATTAATATGGATAACAAACTGAAATTTAAATTTCTACTCAGAGAAATGTAGTTTATGTACAAAGCAATGTAATTAGAGAAACAGGCAATGCTTGTAGTGGATAAATGATTACATGAGCTTTCAAATATATCTGATTCTGGTCTCAAAAATTCTATGGGCCCGATCCGCAGCTGGTGTGGCACAGCTCCATTGACTTAAATGGAGCTAACCTGATTTACACCAGTTGAGGAGCTGGTACATAATCCCAAATTCCAAGATCCAGGGTAGCTGTTTGTTCTTCATTCAATCAGTAAGCACCATTCGCTGAGTTATGAAGAAAGCATGTTCTGTGGAAACCAATAGGTCTGAGCCCTATAAATACTAACACGTCTTTACTATAGTAAGTAGGATGAACTAGTGTGACTTGGAAATGGAGGCTGTGATTATTAATGTGTGTATTGATTACAGTTAAACATAGCTGGCACGGTGCATGGATACTAGTAAAATATTAACCTTGATCAATGAGAGTTTGTGAGAAAATGCTTCGAATACTTTAGCACAGTAATATTTCATAGCTAAATGGAAATGGATTCTATTTATCCCCACTATGTTTGGAGTCTCTATAATACTAGCCAGGTTTGTTAGTTGAGACCTTAATGAAAGGAATTAGAGAGAGAGAGAGACAAACAAAACAGAAATACTAATTTTCTATAAGCTTGAACAGACATCAAGAACAGCACCAGCTGCCATATTTGTACCTACTTTGTAGGGCTGCAGGTATGCAAGGCCTTCAAATGAGGCTTCCAGGTAGCAATGGAAACCGATTTCTCATCAGCCGCATAACTACGCCATACACACTACGTGCAGGATATATGATAAAAAGAAAAACAAGGCAAGAGGGAGCAGGGGATGAAACAAAAATTGAAAAGCAGATTAGTAAACCAATACAAGTCATGGCTTTTTTTTATCATTCATAGCACTGATACATGCCTGAGGGGTGGAAGAATACTTTCATAATATCGCCAGGTGGCTGTCAGGTTTGTTCGGCTGGAATCAGTGGAATAAAACCGCCAAGCAGCCTGGTATGAGGAAACAATAGAAAAGCACAAAGGAACCAACAATATGTGAAATGAAAATGCCACCATATTGTTTATGGAAAGTCTGGACTTTGTTCAAACCAAGAACATTACCTGTTAGGCTGTCTAAATAAACATTAATACCAACAAAATCTAGCGAAAATTGCTAATCAGGACATGGTAAAATATGGCTAATAATCTCTGGGTAAATATCACAATACAACTAGTAAATAGAAGGTGCATAGTAAGCAGTGCAGTGATTTATTTGTAAAAATCCCACACGAGAAACTTACACAAAGTTGCAGACTGAAGTGAGAAGGGTGTAAGAATTAGAGCTGAGCAAATAAATATTTTTTTGGTTTGGGGCCAAACTGAAAAATGAGAAAAAATCGTTTCAGGTTCAAAAATTCATGTAGTTGTTTTAGTTTTTCTCACCAAAACAAAAAAACAAAAAACAAACAAAATAATCATTCAACCTGATTTTTGGGGGGGGGGGGGGGTTGAGGGGAATGTTTTGTTTTGGGTGTTTTTTTACCCTTTAAAATGTTTTTTAAACAAACCTAGCGAAATTCAGAAATGAAACCTTGTTTCAAAATTAAGTCAAAATGTTTTATTTTGAAAATATCAAAATGAACCATTGAGACTTTTTCCAATATTTTTCATTCCGCTTAAACTATTTGCCCAATACAATCCAAATGTGCAAATAGTTTTGTTTTACTTTCACTGAAAAATATTCACCCAGCTCTAGTCATAATATAGTTTGCAAATGATAATGAAAACCAACCATAAAAAAATTAGAGGAAAGTTAGAATATTCTCCTTGGTTCAGGCATTTTTGACTATTTAAAGCTATGAAACAAATAATTTGGAGGGTGGAAAGCAAACACACAGTATCAAAAGTATTTTCAACTCTTAGATTTATAATTGGACAAAAATGGGGAGCCAGATCTTCAGCTGGTGTAAGGTGATGTAGTTAAATTGTAGCTACATTGTCTTAACCAACTTACACAAGCTGAGGATCTAGCCAGTTAGGTTAAAAGGTTTCCTGGATATTGTTCCAACATTTCCAATATGTACTGTCAGGCAATACTAATATGGGCCCAGTCTCCACTGATATCAGTGGAGAGACACCAATTTACACCAGCTTAGAATCTATGTCTATATAGTCCTTTCAATGCCCTTTGCCTAGACATATTTAGTACCAACTGGAGTGAAAGAATAGAAATATTAAGCCTGATTTTCCATGGTTCTGCATCCCATCTAGAGATTTAAGTCTGTGTGAAGAGAATGCAAAATAGGTGTAACATGCTACCATTCTCATTTGGTAGCATTTTGCACCTGCTTTGCATATGTGTAAATTACTACATCGGGGCATGACAGTGGAGGATCTGAATCCTGCATTGCTGTATGCTAATTCCAATGCCATCACACTTGAAAAATCAGGGCTCTTGAAAGTAACAACAGGTTTTGCAGCTATTCAGTTGCAAATGTGCATTTTTTATTGCTACTGAATGTGTGAAAAAATAAATATATTTTGAATACCTTATTATTAAGGCTGCGATTGTCACACAGAGGTCGCGGAAGTCACGGCTCATAAGAAGTGGGAGGACCCTGGACCCCTGAAACCTCCCCCATTCTGGCACCCCTGACTTATATTCTGCAATCAAGTCACCTCTCAGTCTTCTTTTTGATAAACTAAACAGACTGAGTCTCTTACTGTAAAGCATTATCTCTAGTGCTTGAATAATTTTTGTGACTCTTTTCCTCACTCTCTGCAATTTATCAGTATCCTTGTTAAAATGTGGACACTAGAACTGGATGCATTATTCCAGTACCATTCTCACCATTACTGTATACAGAGGTAAAATCCAAGGATCACATTATCCCTTTTTGCCATAGCATCGCACTGGGTTATTTGTTCACTAAGTCCTTTTCAGAGTCACTGCTTTCCAGGATACAGTCCCCACTCATAGAATCATAGAATCTCAGGGTTGGAAGGGACCTCAGGAGGTCATCTAGTCCAACCCCCTGCTCAAAGCAGGACCAATTCCCAACTAAATCATCCCAGCCAGGGCTTTGTCAAGCTGGGTCTTAAAAACCTCCAAGGAAGGAGACTCCACCACCTCCCTAGGTAACGCATTCCAGTGCTTCACCACCCTCCTAGTGAAATAGTGTTTCCTAATATCCAACCTAGACCTCCCCCACTGCAACTTGAGACCATTGCTCCTTGTTCTGTCATCTGCCACCACTGAGAACAGCTGAGCTCCATCCTCTTTGGAATCCCCCCTCAGGTAGTTGAAAGCAGCTATCAAATCCCCCCTCATTCTTCTCTTCTGGAGACTAAACAATCCCAGTTCCCTCAGCCTCTCCTCATAAGTCATGTGCTCTAGACCCCTAATCATTTTTGTTGCCCTCCGCTGGACTCTTTCCAATTTTTCCACATCCTTCTTGTAGTGTGGGGCCCAAAACTGGACACAGTACTCCAGATGAGGCCTCACCAATGTCGAATAAAGAGGAACGATCACGTTCCTCGATCTGCTGACAATGCCCCTACTTATACAGCCCAAGATGCCGTTAGCCTTCTACACTATAGACGTTCGCTTCCTTGCTCGCGGTACAAATTCGCTGGAGACCACTCTTTCACACACCAGTGCCCTTTTATTTCCCTGTATTTTCCCACCACCACGTATATACAGCTTTTTACAGTTAACTATCAGTCAGGTAGCCCCTTAGGGAACAGCTTGCTCTTACAGCTAGCTGGGAGCAACTGGCCTTCACTCCTCACTTTCCTGTTTCTCCCCTTCAGCTTCCTTCCTGCTAGCTTTATAGGCCTTCCCCCATCAAGCTCACAGGTGTCTCTCTTTTAGGGCTTTAATCAGCCACAGCCTGTCAGCTCCAATCACTTCCCCTTTCTGGGAGCTGAGCTAGCAGGCTCTGAGCTAACAGGGGCTGAGTCAGTGCCTTTTGGCCAACACCCTGTTACATACACATATGGGCCTGCATTTATTCTCCATAGATGAATATTTGCATTTGGCTGCATTAAAACACGTTTTGTTTGAATGGGCCCATTTTACCAAAAAAGTCCAGACTACGCTACATGACTTCCCCTTCCTCATCGATATTTACCACTCTGCCAATCTTTGTGTCATCACCAATCTTATCTGATGTAATTTTATATTTACCTCTAGATCATTGATGAAAATGTGAATAGTGTCAGGCCTAGTGCTGATCCCTGTGGAACCGCTCTAGAAACATCTGCATTCAGCGTTATTCTCCACTGACAACTACTTTTTGAGATCCGCCAGTTCCTAATCCATTTAATGGGTGCCTTATTGATACCGTATAGTGCTAATCTTTTAATTAGAATATCGTTGTGTTGGGAGCAGCAGGTCCAGAACCTGAGCCTGCAGGCTCCCTGGGCAGCAACTGTCCCTATGCCACCAGCTAACAGCTCTGGCAGCAGAAATACTTGGCAGGTCATGAGTCACAGGCACCCACACACATAGGCACTGACTTCGTGTGTGCTCTGGGGCTCAACCACCCACAGGAAAAAAAATAGGGGGTGCTCAGCACCCATGGACTGTGCCCCGCCCGTGTTGTGCCTCTTCCAGCTCCCGCTCTGCCTCTTGCCCCAAGGCCTGTACCGCTCACTCTTCACCATCCCCTCCCCCATCACTCACCCTTCAGGCAGCAGGGGACAGAAAGGAGAGAGCGGAGGGCAGGGGGGCCTTGGGGGAGGGGGCAGAGAGAAGTGAGTGACATGGGGGTGAGGGAGTTGTGGGGGGAGCCTCGGGGGAAGGGGCAGAGAGGAACAAGTGGTGGGTAGGAGGGCTTTGGGGGTGGAGAGAAGTGAGCAGCAGGCAGGCGGCATCTCGGGGCAGAGAGGAGTGAGTGGTGCTCGGGGGTACTGGGGGGGTGGAGAGGAGTGGGCGGGAGGCACTCAGGGAGTGGGCAGAGCAGGCAAGGAAAGAGGCAGAGTGGGGCAGGGCCTCGGGGGAAGAGGCCAAGTGTGGCCTTGGGGAGAAACTGGGGTGGAGCCCACGCACACCATAGGACATGCTGCCCCTGGAGGTCTTTATTGACATAATATCCCCTAACCAAACTCTTAGTGTATCTGAAGTTATGACTATGAGGCCCAGGTTCCCCTACCAGCCACTGGGGAAGTGGCACAGACCAGCCAGTAGAGAGTGGACTGCCTGGGACAGTTTGCCCCGAAAGACTGTGATACACTGTAAGGGAGAAACATGCATAGTGACCTGACCGGAGGGCCAAGTCACAAAGGAGCACCTGGCGTTGCAGAGACAGGTGGACATGCTGCCAGAAGAGGGCGCACCACCTGAAAGGAGTTAATCCTCATAGTGGTCAGGAGGAGGCGGGGAGTGGACCCCATGGCAGATGCCTACAAGCAACATGTGAATCACTGGAGACAGCATGACCTGGAATTCAAGGTAAGCCAGAAGGTTTGGCTCACAACCAAACATCTCCACACCAGACCACCCCATAAACTAGATCACTGATATGTTGGACCATTTCAGATCTGCCAACTAATTAACTCTGCCACCGTTAAGCTCTGCCTGCCTAGGTCACTCAAAATACACTCTGTTTTCCAATCTCTCTTTTGAAGCCATTCCCAGAATGGCCCATTTCTGGGCTGAAGGCAACCACCTCTGCCACCCATCCATGTCCAGTGCCATGAAGAACACCTAGTCCAGACCATACTGGATTCCAGGATCAAGCAGGGTACCTTGTGGACCGGGAGGAGTATGGCCCCAAGGAGCAGTCCTGGGAACCAGCCCACCATGTACAAGCTCCCAACCTTATAGAGGCTTTCCACAAAGGCAACCCCAAAAAGCCTTGGCAGGTGATGCCACAGATTTTCTCTTGGGCAGGGAGGTGATTTTAAGAGCAGCAGGACTACAACCTAGGCTTGCAAACTCCCTGGACAGCAACCATCTCCTTGCCACCACGTAACAGCTCTGGTAGTGAAAACACTCAGCAGGTCATGAGCCTCACGGACACACACACATCACAGGACATCCCCCCACAGAGGGTATGATTGGAAGGACATTCCCGATTCCTGATTGGTCCAGACATACTAATTAACATCTCCTGGGGAGGATTCAGTAAGTTTGTCTGTGCAATTATGTGGAACCCCAGCCAGCTGCTGCTACAAACCCTGCTTCCTCATCCTGCTTCTGCTCCCTGATTCCTGACCTTGGCTTTTCTTTCTGGCTCTGATATCAGGTTTCTGGGTAGGCGTGTCTTCTGCTTCTGATCTCTGGTTCCTGATCTTGACTTTACCTCCTACCTCTGATATCCGGTTTCTGACTTGGCTTTATTTCCTCCTTCTGACTCCTGGTTCCTGACTTAGCCTCCACTCCTGATGCTGACCCCTAGCTCCTAACCTTAGATTGATCCCTCCCGACTCCAATTCCTGATGTCTGACTCTGGCTCTAGCCACTAGGCTGTCTGTCCATGACCTGGCCCTGACACATCGGTAGTAAGTCAGGGTACGTCTACACTTACCGGAGGGTCCGACGGCAGGCAATCGATGTTCTGGGATCGATTTATCACGTCTGGTTTAGACGCGATAAATCGATCCCAGATCGATCCCGGAAGTGCTCGCCGTCGACGCCGGTACTCCAGCTCGGCGAGAGGAGTACGCGGCATCGACAGGGGGCCTTCCTGCCGCGTCTGGACCCGCGGTAAGTTCGGACTAAGGTACTTCGAATTCAGCTACGTTATTAACGTAGCTGAATTTGCGTACCTTAGTCCGAAGTGGGGGGGTAGTGTGGACCAGGCCTCAGATGCCTTATGAAAGTCTAAGTATATTACATCTATGCAGTTACCTTGATCAACCAAACTTGTAATCTCATCAAAGAATGCAATCAGAATGGATATATCTTGGAGAGTTTCACTCATCCTACAGTAGGTGCAAAAGGAAAAGTACTTGTTTATGCTGTCAATTAATAATTTATTAACTGCCTGAACATTCCAAAGATACCTTTGTCATCTTCTTGAGCTTAGCGAAACAATGTTATATGAACTGCTCAGGTTCTTTGTTTTCACTTGCCACACCAGTATGAAAGAGACAATATATGGTACACATTTAAAAGAGCTGGTTTCCAAAACAAGTAAATGAAGATGATATCTGCATTTCAGTCCAGTATATCAAATACAATAAAGTTCAGTAGGAAACTGATTTCATTCTTTCTTTTTTTGTATGTTTAGAGCTAGAGACCTGTGGTATGAGAGTCATCAGCAAGCATTTCAATCCACTATGATAGAAAGTTAAAATAATTGTACAAAATTACAGTTTAAATGATCAAATATACTAAAATTTTTCATTTACTTTTATCTCTTTTAAAACATTGATCTGCACCATCACCTCAATACAACAGGTGAAAAGATGCTCAACATTTCAAGACACTGAATTAATCAATTCCATATTTTCAGTTCCTAGGTTGGGTGATATCGAAAGCAATTATCTGGACAGAAAACTCTACATTCTAAAGGAATGTATTACTCATCTGAGCACTGTGAACTCTCTAGTAGTGAAAAGTAATTGAATCCGGGCCAGAGTGCTATGCTATCTCTTAATCCTATCCTTTAGTGATCAAATCTGTTTTTCCAAGTAATTTATATAATCAAATGTCAAGCAGGACTGCACATAATTTGCATCCTTGCATGGCGATTTTGGCATGGATATTAATCTGAAATTCAACAATGCATGAACCATGCACTGAAAAGCTGAATATAACATTATACAAACGCATGGTGTTTATTGAACACAGTTCATTTTAACAAAATGTTCAACTTGTGGCAATTAAACAATATTTCTGCAGAACTTTGCATAATACAGGAGGTAAAATTTACCTAACAAGCACTTAGAAATCTATTTTTATCCTCTCACTGCTTTGATATTTACCTGAATTAAACTGGCAGCTGGATTTCTTCTTTTCTCAAAATGTTTCTGACGGTGCTGTTCTTGCACTTTTAATGCAAAGCCTGAGCCAAGAATGCCCTAGAGTAAAATACAACACAAAAGTTTTTACCGTTAGGAAGCTAATTGTAAAAAACAGTGTAAATATATCAGCTCTGAAGTTATTGTGATGATAAAAAATAAAGCAACACCATTCACAACAGGCATTGTTTTGTCTGATTATTTTAAACAACCACATTTACTACAGTACAAAGTTTAACAATAAGACAATGTCCATTCACTGTTAAGGAAGACATGAGAATCCCCACATAAGAAATAACATTTGCAGTGTTATGAATGGCTGCTCATCTAAACCATGCGTTGCTATAGGCTACTGTGTGCTACTGATATTCCAAATAAGGTACCTGTATAGGCAGCCAAACAATCATTTATATACTTCACTTATAGTCACAACCCTGTGTTGTAACTTTTGAATTTAGAAAATTCAAAAATAGCTTGCATACGGCAAGTTTTTCAGTTTAATTAATTAATCTGTAGTATTCATTTTATGGAGTTTGCAGTGTTGCCAACTCTCATGATTTTGTCATGAGTCTCATGATAATTATTGTTTTCCTTAAAGCCCCAGCTCCTGGAGTCAAGTGGCTATGTGATGATTTCAGCCTTCATTTTTAATGAAAAAGTAAGTTTCTAGTCCTTGTGGCTGTGGAAAAAGCTTCAAAATGTGAGCTCAGTGAACCCTAAAGGCTCAAAAAGCAGAAGGTAAATAAAAAGAACACAAAATCTATTGTTTTTACATAATCTCATGACTATAAGGGGAGGGATAGCTCAGTGGTTTGAGCATTGGCCTGCTAGACCCAGGGTTGTGAGTTCAATCCTTGAGGGGGCCATTTAGGGATCTGGGGCAAAATCAGTACTTGGTCCTGCTAGTGAAGGCAGGGGGCTGGACTCGATGACCTTTCAAGGTCCCTTCCAGCTCTATGAGATAGGTATATCTCCATATTTATAAAGCCACTCTCATGATTTTTGGTGAGCCTGACTCATGATTTTTGAACATTTGGGGTTGGGAATACCGGGTTTGAAACAAAGTTTATAATTAAATCTGAATAATTTTGCATTATAAGGAGGCAAGATTCCACTTGACTCTTATGCAAGAAAAATAAAAGAAAATCCATGAAAGTTAAACACATCTTAATATATTTTCCATAGTCTGACTAAACACAAATGTTGCTGATGAAGAAAATGAATGGCTACATGGATATGACATGAGGAATAAATTTTCTGATATCTCAAATATTTTAAGGTTGTATTCATTTTTCATATACTCATCTGCAGATATAAATATCTTACTCCCTAGTCATCTCTAAGAGTATGTTTTCTGCTAGGGATCACTATATAACACATTGATTCAAATACAGTGGGTACCATTGATGTCAACATTTGCCAATAGGTATTTCACTGTAATATCTGAGATAATGCAGTAGTGCTCTGTATTTAAACAAATTTAAACACATTAAAACTGTTGAATCTCAGATGCTGCAATGTTTTTGGTAAACGCTGACTTTTTAATGTTGGTCAGTCTATATGGTTAAATATAAAAGTATTCTAATGCCAATTAAAATAATTTTTAAAATGATCTATATGCAAGTGAATAAATTTTTTAATATTGATGTTTCATATGTACCGTGGCAGGTGAAATACAAGAGGAAGTAAATGTGCCCTTTGGATTCAAGCTTATTAAATGCACCATTTGTATACACACGTTAAATGTTATGATATTTCTACCAGCTCCAGTACTCATTAGATTACTCTCATTTCCATTAAAGTCCCTTTAATGTCTGTAAATCTCATAAGTTCTCATGTCTTTCTTATCAAGTAGTCATTTATAGAATAAAATGTACTTTTGCATTTAACGGAATTAACTTCTATTACAATCAGGGGGCAGACACCCTCAGGGGAGAACAGGGGGGGCTGAACCCCCAAGAGTAAGTAATTGAATCAACCGGTTGTGCAATGTTATTGTGTATAAAAGTATGTCTAGTAAGGCCTTCTATGAGAACTTGTAATATTCTGAACTTGATCGTCATTATGAGATATGTATACAGACTGTGGTTATGAATTTATGTATTTCTGCAGCTATAAAACTGTGCTGATAATTTGTGCTACAACGTTCAGCTCCATCTGAAATTCTCTGTAATCTGAAGTCTTTAAATCATGATTTGAGGACTTCAGTAACTCAGCCGGAGATTAGGGGTCTATTACAGAAGTGGGTGGGTGAGGTTCTGTGGCCTGCAATGTGCAGGCGGTCAGACTAGATCAGGGGTTCTCAAACTTCATTGCACCGTGACCCCCTTCTGACAACAAAAATTATTATCTGATCCCAGGAGGGGGGGACCAAAGCCTGAGCCTGCCTAAGCCCTGCCACCCTGGGCGGAGGGCCAAAGCCCAAGCCCCGCCACCTGGGGCAGTAGCGGCGGGGCAAAGCCAAAGTTCAAGACTTCAGCCCCAGGTGGAGGGGCCTGTAACCTGAGTCCTGCTGCCCAGGGCTCTTCCCCTTAGACTTCAGCTTCAACCCCAGATGGTGGGGCTCAGGCTTTGGCCCTGGGCCCCAGCAAGTCTAACGCCAGCCCTGGCGACCCCATTAAAACAGGATCACAACGCACTTTGTGGTCCCAACCCACAGTTTGACAACCGCTGGACTAGAAGTTCATGATGGTCCCTTCTGACCTTAAAGTCTATGAGTCTATCACAAGGTAGTAGTCAGCCAGGCAAGGGGAGGCTGCCTCCCCACTGGATGAGACTAGCTCCATGCACCGAGAATGGTACAACCCAGGACAAGACAAATTATGGGCCATTAGGGTTAATGGGAAAATATTAAGACATCCCAGCTCAAATTTTCCCACCCTAAATAACCGAGAGTCACCCTGCAAGGAGAAAAGGGAAAAAAATAAGGGGTGAGGAGCCCTTAAAAAGGAGGTTTGAAACTCAAGTTTTTATGAAAAATGAGGGGCAGCCTCTAAGCTGGAAGCTGTATGTTAAATGTTGGATCTCCTCTATGACAGATTCAAATATGAGTGAGCAAAGTATAAGCGTATGGTTTATTATTTTCTTCTGCTTATTTCGGGTTAAGGGAAATAGAACAAGACAAGAGGAAAATGAGCCAATTAGAATCCTTGGACGCAATGGATAAAAAGCAGCTTGGAGCCCTTGTGTGCAATATGGTTTACAGCTTCTGCCTGATTTAATGCATTCTACTACAGTCAATTGATAGATCTGACATGGTCATTGTAGACCACCCACTCGCAATGTCCTAATTTTTCCAACTGCAATAAATCCAGAAGAACATATCTGCTCAATCATTTCAAAGCCCTGAGAGAAACGTATTGCTAGGGTATGAGGCACAATTCACAGGCAGAGAAAGGAATTTCTGTTTTTCAAAATGCAACAGGAGTAAATCCTAGAAAAAAGATATTTTCCATCTTTGTTCAAGCCCAAACCCCCACACAAATACAATGATAAGTCTTTGCAATGACACTTTCATTTGGGCCATATCATCCCAACATTTTTGACATTGAATAAATTAAACCAATGAAGAATTCTGCTTCAAAACTGACCATACGGGCCTATACTTTTTTTGAACTGAATAATGTACTACTTAAACTCTGTGGTTAGGTAAAAGATGGCCATATCTGACGTACTAGCTCATAAGTGAGTAACTGTACAGTTTTAGAAACATTGGAGTCATAATAACCCAGTGTTCCAGGCTAACACCACAGAAAAAGGGGCTTTATGTAGATGATCCAACTGCATGATCAGATTTCCTTACTCTATGAAAAGGCACTCTAGAAAAGTTTTAACATTAGTGAAGGAGCTTTACATATTCAAACAATGACTCTTTATGTTGAAAGCTTCATGCAGCTTCTCACATCATGTCAGCTTAGGAGTTATTGAAGATCCTATTACCTTTTTTTTATTTTTGTAAAGATACTCACAGCAGGTAGTGCAAAGAAAGAAATTCCAAGTAAAGCAAACCCAGCAGAAAGCAGCCTTCCAAGCCAAGTAAGAGGAGTTTTGTCTCCATAGCCAATTGTTGTCAATGTGATCTAAAAAAGCAATGAATAAATATCATGTGCAATAGAAGTACCTGAGAGAAAAGCTACAGGTCAGATACACAGTATGCAGGAACTTTCCCAGTAAATAATCATTCACCAAGACACATGAAAATCTATATGTTTCTCTTATAACACAATCTTCTATTTTAGAACACATCTGTAAAGGAAAAACATTATTTAAATAAATGGATATGAATAACTTTGTAACAATGAACAGAGGCAATGTGTGTGGGGGGCATGCGGGGTCATGTGACCCCCCCAGATTTTTGCCTTGCATTAAGCCAGAGGTTTTCAAACTGGAGGTCATGCCCCCCACCCCCTCAGTTTGAAAACCATCGCCTCCTGCCAAGAGCCAGTGGATTGGAAGCTGGTGGGAGCCACCCAGCCCGCTTGGGCCTCTCCCCCAAAGGAGCCCGGCGCCAGCTGGTGATGCACTCTGGAGCTGGCCCCTGCCTGTAGAGCCTGGCTGCCATGACATGCTCCCTGAGGCGCTCGCTTGCCACAGCCCTGGCACTTCTCTTTCTGCTGCTGCTCCTCAGCCCAGAGGCAATGTGTGGGGCAGTCATGTGCCCCCTTAGAATCTTTAAATTGGGTCTCCTCCATCAAGAGTTATGCGTCGTCTCTGACAATGAAGATGTTAGTAGTGTATCTGAGCAAGTGGAAATCACGCAGAAGGCATTGTCATTTTTTGTGCATATGTAATTGTACTATTTAGTGTAACAATCAGGAGTACACTGCAGGAATTTGCACAACAGACTACACGTGTGCCAAGGACTACAATGCAAAGATTTAATACTCCAGTGATTAAAAGTTCATAGATAAGGACAAGGTCAAAGGAAGTGCAGAAAGAAGTCATATTTTCTGTGAACATATTTGGACAATTAGGGCTGAGTCATCTGTTGCAGCATAAAACTCCCAAGCACATAGGGTGAAAAGATCCACTGAAAACGAATGGAAACAAGGCAGTGTAAAAAGAACCACAGGTGTTTCTTCACTAGAAACATGGCAGCAGCATGGCTGCAGTGCTCGATCAACCTAAGTTTTTTGTGTAGACACTGGCCTTAGTGTCCCAATGACTTCAGAGGAATTTGTCACATCAACACTGATCATTGGCTATAGCTTTTCTGAATGCAAAGATTGCATAGGGAAAGTCAAAATTAAAGTAAAAACATCTATTATGGCTCCGTGAGACATTTGTAAAACACTCTTCATAACTCCCCTTAATGTGAAAGGGTAATCAAAGACAGTGTATATACTCAGAACAAGTTGTATTGTAGAGGCCGGGGTCACTGTCATGTAGCACAAATACAGATCATGGCAGTGCTCAGTCAGTATGACCTGGAAGGCTCTGCCTATGTAAGTCAGCTGCTACCACCACTCACTGAACTCATGCCACCTCTGACTACAGTATGTATCCCAGATGTTGCCCCACTGTCTAATGCAGTTTATCAAGATGTCTCAAAGGCAGAACAAGCCAAAAGATTGTAGTATCTTAAGTATGGAGCATGAGGAACAGATTTGCACTGTGGGGTACACTATCAGGAAAAGATTGTTTAATATCCATCAGAGATAATAGATCACAGAAATCATTTCCAGAAGAGACATATTGCTCACTCTGAGAAGAGTTCATCCCAGTGCAGAATGTCTTGCGACAGCACCTCTGTATCCGGGACTGTAGGGGGGACGGGTTTCTACCATGCCAAGGAAATGGCCTCCATGCCAGCTCTCCATACCCTGTCACAAAAAGCTACTTTGGAGCTATGGCCAGAGGAGGGGTCACAGGTACCTATTTACAGTGCTCCAGTACCCAGGAAACCAGCACGGAAGGGTTATTCCAGCACTGGAATAAAACCCATGGCAAAGGAGTGTGAGAGGGGATGTGTAGCAGCCCTGCACCCTGGGACTGGGGTGGGTTGGGGGGATTTTGCCTCACTGCGTTTCCTCTGCATAGAGGAATGAATACTGCAGCTTTAGGCAGGTAGAGTGAATGTCACTCACTTATGGACCGAGTGGATTTATTAACTCCAAATGGAACACCGAATGGCTCACATCCAGAACACAGCAAACTGAATTTTAAAGGGTAAGATGGACAAGAATAGGCTAAATACCAAGGATTCCAGAGCTTGCGATTAGTGGAAAGCTTGGACAAAAAGAACTATTTTACTTAATGTTCTAAATATGGCCAAGTTCAGGCTTAGACAGTTGTCTGGCAGAAGTGAATTTCCAAGGAAAATGCCTACTATTCTCTCAGAGGTCACTCTTGGGAAAGGTGGCCAAAGCAATGCAGCTCAATGCAGTGGTCATCACTGGACAAAGGTGGTGAAATAGTTTCTTAAGTAAATGGGATGTAAGCTATTTAGGGCTCATAGATAATAAGCAGTACCATGACTGCTTCCATTGTTGAGGACAAAGCACAGGTGTGATGTCTTAGAGAAAGGCAGACTAGCTAAAAAGGAGGCAGTCATTCACAACACTAGCTGAAATATTCAAGCGGCTGCCAAGGCTAGCCTCTGGGAGAGTGATCCACAGTAATGTTAGCATGCCTGTGATGGGGTCTATCTCCAAAAGGAATGGCTTCTTGACCTGACAAATGACTGTCGCCATATGGGAAGCCAGGAGCAGCTACAAGGCTTGTAAGACCCTGAAATTCTAAACCATTTTGACAAAAGGTGGGCAGATGCCTTCCACTGGCAGAATGATTATTGACTTTGCTAATTCCTCAAAGTGCTTCCCCCTGCCAATTAGCATCAACCTCTTTTTTCAGGATTGAACCTAAATCAACTGGCTTTCATCTATTTTCCTGTCTCTGCCAGAAACTGGAGAATGAGGAGATGTCTCCGGTAGGGGCTGCGGAAAAGGAGACGTCAAACTTAGTGTTGTCTGCATATTAGTGACATTGTAAGGTAACAATCTTCCCAAAAAATTAGACAAACTTTGAGCCCCATGAATCTTGACACACGAAAGCCCTCTGGAGAGAAGAGAAGTCACTCAGCACAGAATTTCTCTGAAGAAAAAACAGGACCATATTAAAGCAAGAGTCCCAAGGATAGAATTTCCTTTCTGTTTAATTCACATTACAATAGTTTGTTCTTTAATCAGATGCATTTACACGTTTCTTAATAAATAATTCCCTTTTGAATCTCCACATACTATGAGATTAATTGAAATAATTAAATTTGTTCAAGTTCTGATAGTGTTGAATTGGAAACTATCATCACTATTTCATATTCATTGTAATAACATTATCCATAATGAATTCATTTGGTATTCACATAGTTGTCCGTAGATATTCCATTATTCCATTGTAATGACAATGTATTATTAGAAAAGGAAAAGACAATATTACTGAGAGAAACTCTGAAAAGATGCCAGCTATACAAGAATCTTTTATATACCGTACTAAATTATGTTTTCAGGTAAAACAAATTACCATATATGATAATTGCAAAAAGTACAGACTTAAGTATAGCATTGAAGTGATAGGGAACTCCCACGGGGCTTGAATAACAGATATTTAAGCCAAGGAATGCTTCCCCTTCCTGTTCCCACATTATATATCGTCTATTAAAATAATTATTTTATTTAATTAATTTGCCATCCTCTCCAAGTATTCTTGCCATTTGAGCCTTGCCTGGCACCCGTTAATCTTGGTTGTATGCAGTGTTGTTATAGCCATGCTGGTCCCAGGATATTAGAGAAACTAGGTGGGTGAGGTCTAAGTCCTGAAGAAGAGCTCTATGTCTCAAAAGCTTGTCTCTCTCACCAACAGGAGTTGGTCCAATAAAAGATATTACCTCACCCACCTTGCTTCTCTATTAATCTTGGTTGGCATACATAAACCAGAACTGTGGGAGCTCCAGCCATAAGAAAATCCACATTGATGGCATTTATGTTATGTTAGAGTTGCAGATTGGAAATCTAAATGTATTTAAACTAACAGGTCATATCCTGCCTTTGATTTCAGTGAAAAACATCCATTGACCTCAATAAGAGTATCCATTCTTTGCATGGAATGATGGCAGGATATGGCCCTCAGATAATTTGATTGAATGAGTGTGCTAGTGTCAATTAATTACAGCATGCTGGGTATGATGAGAAGGCGTTATGAGTGTTTCTAGAAGCTTGGAACTTCAGAGGATTATTCATGGCTAGTCCCCCTTTTTTTTAAACAGGAACATCACAAAACCATTCTGGGACTTGGTGTATACAGTGGAATGTAAATTAGAATAACTGCTGCAAATAAACAAATCAATGAGACTAAGCGTAGACGCCCCCTAGAATGCCATGTGATCTGACCTTTTCAAAATCTGCATGTGGGTTATTCTGGCAATCAAAACAAGCAAGACTACATTTCCCACATACTGTTTTACAGATAATACAGCAATTATCATTATTAAGAGGGAAACAACAAAAATAATGAATTGGGGGATATGCTGATTTTCAGTAATTTTATGCACCTGAATATATTAAGAATTTAAGTATATTTAGGTTAATTAAAGAGTAAAAAAAAATTGTTTTCAGGTTTTTGATTATAATTTGTTTTTCTGTTGATAGCAAGAAAAAATTCCTGTTTTCTCAGTTAGCACAAATTATCTGACCTATGAGTCATACATTTTCATTTTCACTGTATACAAAGTATTTTAAGCCACCATTTTATAAAATGATTGCTTCCTAGCAGGGCTTTTCCTTCTAAAACATCAAGAAGGGGAGAAGCAAATTATAAAACTAAGCTCTTGTTCATGCAATTAGATCTGCTTGGATCTGTGGATATGACTACAGGGCCAAGGCCTGACTTTATCAAAGCCCCACTGTTCAACTATGAACCCAGTCCTGCAACTGTGAAGCAGTCAAACTCTTACTAACTTCAGGCCAGCAGTAATTGCTCTCAGTTACACTGCAGTAAATCCAGAGCAATTTACATTGGTGTAACTGAGAGCAGAGTTTGATATGATGGTTTAACTTTAAGTCAATGGAAGTCTTACCTGCATTAGGATTAAAGGATCAAATATTAAATATTTTATGAGACATTTTTTGTTGATATTTTAAAACAAGTCTCATTAGGCAAAATACTTCTGTATTTTTTATAACTGTTGCTGTGCAACCAACAGATACTTTGGGTTCTGCATGTTCAAAGCTCACATTTCTACTCACTGATCATTCAAAAATACAACCCATAGGGAGGAAGGATAACCTGGGGCCTAAGAATGAACGAACTGGTTCAAATAAAAAGGTTTGGGAAACCTACCTTTTGCCCAAAAAGTAAACAAAACCCCAAATGCACATTCTTTTGGGGTTCAGTAGTGTCCGGGAGTTTATTTTGTTTTTCGTTGTTTCTCTAAGCAAGTTCAGGTTTTGACTAGTCTGGGAGTGGAAGTACAAGAAAGACTTGGGTCCGGTTCAGCTCCTGTCAACGCAACACCTGAAGTGGGGAAGTTACCTTTTTAGTCCCCTGATCAGTCTAAGTGATGCTCTAAGTTATGTTGACACTAATGGCACCATTGACCGGCTGGGATTGCTGGAGCACAAGGTGTTCTACTATGCCAGTGGGAACAGGAGTTCTGCTTTATCCCCTGGAGGGGGATACACCTATAGGAGGTGAATAAGCAGCTTCCCTGTTAGGACAGCCTTCCAGTTATCTGAGCAGCACAGTGCAGCTGAACATGGGCCAAGGATCTATCTCACTATTTGTATAGTATTTCTATTCCCACTGAAAACAGAAAAACTCAGAATCTTGTAAGAAAGTTTGTTCTGGTGAGATTTTTAACCAGATTTCAAGATCAAAAGAGAAATTTGAATAAACTTCAAACATCTAGAACTGATTCTCCATGTTCTTATACCATGTATAGTTACTTAATCCCCAATTTGGCAAAGCACTTACGCACATGATTACTATTAAGCATGTGAATAACCCTATCCCTTTCAGCGAAGCACGCAAGCATGTTCTCAAGTCCCATGGACTTCAACAATGCAGCTGCACCGAAGTTTGACGTTAAGCATGTGCTTAAAGGTCTTAGAATCATAGAAGATTAGGGTTGGAAGACACCTCAGGAAGTCATCTAGTCCAATCCCCTGCTCAAAGCAGGACCAACACCAACTAAATCATCCTAGCCATGGCTTTGTCAAACTGGGCCTTAAAAACTTCTAAGGATGGAGATTCCACCACCTCCCTAGGTAACCCATTCCAGTGCTTCACCACCTTCCTAGTGAAATAGTGTTTCCTAATATCCAACCTAGACCTCCCCCATTGCAACTTGAGACCATTGCTTCTTGTTCTGTCATCTGCCACCACTGAGAACAGCCGAGCTCCATCCTCTTTGGAGCCCCCCTTCAGATAGTTGAAGGCTGCTATCAAATCCCCCCTCACTCTTCTCTTCTGCAGACTAAATAAGCCCAGTTCACTCAGCCTCTCTTTGTAAGTCATGTGCCCCAGCCCCCTGATCATTTTCGTTGCCCTCCGCTGGACTCTCTCCAATTTGTCCAAATCCCTTCTGTAGTCGGGGGACCAAAACTGGACATAATACTCAAGGTGTGGCCTCACCAATGCCGAATAGAGGGGAATAATCACTTCCCCTGATCTGCTGGCAATGCTCCTACTAATACAGCCCAATATGCCATTGGCCTTCTTGGCAACAAGGGCACACTGCTGACTCATATCCAGCTTCTCATCCACTGTAATCCCGAGGTCCTTTTCTGCAGAACTGTTGCTTAGCCAGTCGTAGCATGGGATTCTTCCTTCCTAAGTGCAGGACTCTGCACTTGTCCTTATTGAACCTCAGATTTCTTTTAGCCCAATCCTCCAATTTGTCTAGGTCACTCTGGACCCCATCCCTACCTTCCAGCGTATCTACCTCTCCCCCCAGCTTAGTGTCATCTGCAAACTTGCTGAGGGTGCAATTCATCCCATCATCAAGATCATTAGTTGTATGCAGTGTTGTTATAGCCATGCTAGTCCCAGGATATTAGAAAAACTAGGTGGGTGAGGTCTAAGTCCTGAAGAAGAGCTCTATGTAGTTCAAAAGCTTGTCTCTCTCACCAACAGGAGTTGGTCCAATAAAAGATATTACCTCACCCACCTTGCTTCTCTATTAATCTTGGTTGGCATACATAAACCAGAACTGTGGGCGCTCCAGCCATAAGAAAATCTTGAACAAAAGATCTTGAACAAAACTGACAGGACCGACCCCTGGGGCACTCCGCTTGATACCGGCTGCCAACTAGACATCGAGCCATGGATCACTACCGTTGAGCCTGACAATCTAGCCAGCTTTCTATCCACCTTATAGAATCTTGCTGAATTGGGGCTTTACATCTGTGTAAAGCAGGTGTAAAAATGCTACCAAATTAAGATGGAAGGGTAGCATTCATAATCATTTTTCACAGATGTACATGCCTATTCAAGACACAAGCACTGGGATACTCAGGACCACTAGAAGTTTACATCTTTTAATATGTGCATTCGTGTAATACAAAATATTCTACAGTATTAGTTAAATATTCTACAGTATTAGTTAAATAGTTCAAATGATCTTTCTATACTTACTGTGCCCCACCAGAGAGCATCTGCATACGTAGAAAACTGGGTATTTGCATCTTTTTCCACCAGATAGACAAGGAAAGAGGAAAAGATAAGTACTAAAAATCCTATGTACCAGGCTGTGATTAATTCCTAGATAAAAGAAAATAAAGATCAATCTGTATTAAAAAGATTAAACATAGAGTGGAGTGGCATTTGAAGAAAAAATAATTAAACAGTCCATATTTTTTGGTATTTTAGCAGTTAAACATCAAATGCTTCTCAGTTCACATAAATTGTCTCTAAACAACGGGTAGAAGTGATTGGGAATTTTTCAACAGAATGCTGGAAAATGCTGATTCATCAAAAAGATTTTTCAGGTCCAGGATGGGGAAAGAGCTAACACAGAACAGCCAATAGACTTGTGATTAGGGCACTCATCTGTGATGTGGGAGCCTGAGGCTGAAGCTCCTGCTCTGCGTGATTTGGAAGAGAGACTTGAAGCTGGGTGTCCCACATCCCAGGTGAGGGCCCCAACCAGTGGGCTACAGTGTCATTCTTTCTCAGTCTTTCCTGTTGAAGCTGCTCCACTTAGTACAGATCATTAAATATTTGTTGTGCCAGAGGGATATTTTCCTTTCATTTACACTATCTCTTTCTGAACAGCTCGCTCATGCCTGTGATTGCATCAACAAACTGACTTCATGGTCATTAACTATACTACATGGACCTCAAAGTTGTAAACAAGGATAGAACTCAGGAGCTTTGTCTAAATGAAGGGAGTATGCAATTAAATGGCTAATGTGTGTACTTACCCCTTCCCTCTGCTAGCTGGTCACATATTCTGACATTTTTTCAAGTATGCTACCCACTGTCTAGTCATTGGTCCCCAGAGAGTATATGCTTTAATGCTATTGCAGCTAATAGAGATTCTCTTTTACCTTATGTGATAGTGTTCTGTATTTTGGACTCAAATATCCACTACTGGACTATTCTATTGTGGGGTGGATCTCTTTCTCTTTTCTCTCTCTTTCTCTCTCTCATGTTTTTTTGCCAAAGGTTTTGAAAGGCTTCATTTTCATTCCAATGTGGAACAAAAACAAATTTTGAAATCTCAGATTTTGTTCATGAAAAAGAATTCTTGTTCTCTTGTTCTCTGAACAATTGGTCTGATTTCCCAGTTCAGTTTGACACTTGTGTAACTCCACTGATTTCAATGGAATTACACCAGCATCCAACTGGTGGTGAATCAGGGCCAATATTTTTAGCATATTTTCAGAAATCTGAATGAACATGAAAAGATGTATTTTTGATAATGCATTACATAGCCAACATTACTTTAGGAAGTTTTACGTATTCACTGGAATCTGATAAATATATACGTTGATGTTGATTCATAGAGTTTTGTTGAATCCACTGAAGAATTAAATGAAGTGAACTGCCATGACAGTTACCTTGCTATGTGCATAAACTACTGAACCTAATAATTTCCAAGTCCCTCCTCTTCGGTCCATGCGTACCATACGAAGGATCTGTAGGAAACGAAGACTTCTCAGTGCTGATGTTGCAAAAATGTTACCCTGAGTTTTTGCAGAAACAACTGCTATTGAAGCGATGAGAACAATGGTGTCTGAAAGAAATACATTACAGAAGATATTAATGTACATAAAGTGATCATGAACATAGACGTACATATGCTGAGTGAAGGGAGTTGTCCTTACTCCTATTCAATTCCCTAGGAATTTTGTCTGAGATAGGATTGTGGGATCAAGACTAGAGTCTAAAAAGTGCTTAGAGACCCTTCAGGATGAAAATCATTAGCTACATTAGAAATATTAAAAACATATACTGATAAGGCGGGTAGTACTGAAGGAACTAGTTGCCTTGTGGAAGGTATTTTCAAGCCCTGTGCGTAGAACTGTATACTTCATCTGATGGTTTAAAACTGCGGTGTTACTTTCCCCCATAGCAACATTCCTATGAAAAGGCATAAAAAAAAAACAGTAAGAGAAAACAGAGCCCTCTCAGTTACATGAATCAAATGGAAGTATTTAGACTTATAAATATACATTTTATTTTCCTATGAGTGCAAATACTATGTGATGCAATTGTGCAGTGATGAGCTTCTGGATACAAACTCCCCTTATATACAATTTCCTGGGGGGAAAACAAAAATAAACTTGGTTGCATAAATGTCCTCCTAAGCATTCATTTAGCTGGCAGTCTGGAAAGTTCCAGAACTCCGAGTGTTAATACTTTGCATAAGAGTTTGTTTCTTCATGACAAAGATTTAAAATTTTTTGTTAAGTACAAAGTGCTTGTTTATAACTCTTGGAGCCAGTGCCATGCTTAGGAGAGGATGAGGAGAAGAAACACTGTTCAAGCAGAGACAGCTAGATGCATTATGGCCTGCAGTAGCTATGAGTAGTATGGAATAGAAAGGGGTAATTTTAAATTGCTGGATGCCAAGTAATTTTATTTAAAAAATTACTAAAAATATTTACCCCAGAGAAACAAGAAACGGTAGGCTAGCTCTTACTAATTATTTCTCTTGTTACCAAATCAGGGATGTGACTCCCACTGTTTTAGACTATGTCTATACTATGAGCTTGGAATGTGAGTCTCCTGTTTGCGTACACATACTCACATTAGCTCTCATTGAGCTAGCGCAGTAGCAGTGGTATCAGCAGCGGAAGCACATCAGAACCACCCCCTCTAGTGACATAAGTTACACTGACATACGCGACATAGCTTCTGCCGCTCGCGGAGGTGGTTTTATTATGCTGAAGGGAGAGCTCTCTTCCGTCGGCATAGAGCATCTTCACCAGACGCACTGCAGCGGCTCAGCTCTATCGGTACAGCTGCATCGCTGCAGTGCCTTAGTTAACTTCCTCTAACAAATTCATGTGGAAGCCAAGAGGTTTTTCTTGGGTTGGTTTCTTCCTGAGCCTTCTCTGTTTTTCTTAGCTCTGTGTGGTAGCTTGCTTGTAGAGATGGGCAGGATAAGCTGATGAGTGCTGTGTGTTCGCGGAGCAGAGTAGCAGGCAGTGTGTGTGAGGGGTGCTTACTTGAGAGTTTTTTATACTCCTCTCCTTCTTAGTTTCATGAAGTTACAAGAAAACACACCTCTTTTAGGCTTTTTTAAATTCAAGTTGATTGCTGTCCTTTCACTGCCTCAGGCCTGGTCTACACTACGAGTTTAGGTCGACTTTAGCCACGTTAAATCGACTTAAGCCTGGACACGTTTACACTACGAAGCCCTTTCTGTCGACTTAAAGGGCCCTTTAAACCGGTTTCCTAACACCACCTCGACAAGGGGATTAGCGATAAAATCGACCTTAGGGGGTCGGAATTGGGTTAGTGTGGACGGAATTCGACATTACTGGCCTCCGGGAGCTATTCCACAGTGCTTCATTGTGACCGCTCTGGACAGCACTCTCATCTCAGATGCACTGGCCAGGTAGACAGGAAAAGCCCCGCGAACGTTTGAATTTCATTTCCTGTTTGCTCAGCGTGGAGAGCACAGGTGACCATGCAGAGCCCATCAGCACAGGTAACCATGATGGAGTCCCAGTCCCAGTCCCAGGATCGCAGAAGAGCTCCAGCCTGGACCGAACGGGAGGTACAGGATCTGATCGCCATCTGGGGAGATGAAGCAGTGCTCGCCGAACTCCGAAACAGTAAAAGAAACGGCAAAACATTAGAAAAGATCTCCAAGGCCATGAAGGACAGAGGCCATAACAGGGACGCGCGGCAGTGCCGCGTGAAAATTAAGGAGCTAAGGCAAGCCTACCACAAAGTCAGAGACGCAAACGGAAGGTCCGGGGCAGAGCCGCAAACATGCCGCTACTACGCGGAGCTGCATGCCATTCTAGGGGGTGCAGCCACCACTAGCCCAAGTGTGTTCTATGAGTCCCTCTCTGCAAACGGGGAAGCGGGTTCGGCGGACGAGGAAGATGAGGATGGAGAGAACATAGATAGCTCACAGCAGCAAGGAAGCGGAGAAACCAGTTACCCCAACAGCCAGGATATGTTTGTCACCCTGGACCTGGAAACAGTAACCCCCGAACTCACCCAAGACCCTGAGGGCACACAGGGGACCTCTGGTGAGTGTACCTTTGCAAAAATTACACATAGTTTAAAAACAAGCGTGTTTAATGATTAATGATTAATTTGCCCTGGCAATCGCGGCCAGTACAGCTACTGGAAAAGTCTGTTAACGTGTATGGGGATGGAGCGGAAATCCTCCAGGGACATCTCCAGAAAGCTCTCCTTCATGTAATCCCAAAGCCTTTGCAAAAGGTTTCTGGGGAGGGCTGCCTTATCCCGTCTGCCATGGTAGGACACTTTACCACGCCAGGCCAGTAGCACGTAGTCTGGAATCATTGCATAACAAAGCATGGCAGCGTATGGTCCCGGTGTTTGCTGGCATGCAGACAACATCCATTCCTTATCGCTCTTTGTTATCCTCAGGAGAGTGATATCATTCACGGTCACCTGGTTAAAATGGGGCAATTTTATTAAGGGGACATTCAGAGGTGCCCCTTCCTGGTCTGCTGAACAGAAATATTCCCCGCTGTTAACCACGCGGTGGGGGGGAGGGGTGAAGTGACCATCCCAGAGAATTGGGTGTGTGGGGGAGGGGAGTTAGTTGGGTTTGTGCTGCATGTTAAACCTGAAATCGCATCCCCTCCTTTTACATTGCAAACCCATTTTAAATGGCACGGGTGCTTGGTATGGGAAATGAGGGCAGAACTGTTTGAAACCATCCCCACATGTTAAGAAGGTTAAAAAAGCCCAAAGACTATATGTCTTACCATGGCTGCCTGCAAGCTGAAATCTGTGTCCTGGCACTGCGTGAGTGATCTCTCACACCAAACCAGGAGACTCTCAATATAAGAGGAAAAATGCGACCTTGTAACGAAAGCACATGTGCTGTGTGATGTTGTGAACAGCAAAATCTAACGTGAAAGAGTCTACCCATTGTTCTCTAAAATGTATCTTTTTTAACAACCTCTCCCTTCTCCACCAGCTGCAAATCTTACTCCTTCGCAGAGGCTAGTGAATATTCGAAGAAGGAAGCGAAGGACGCGTGACGAAATGTTTACTGAACTTCAGACTGCCTCCCACGCTGACAGAGCACAGCTGAATGCGTGGAGGCAGTCAATGACTGATTTTAAAAAAGCCCAATATGAGCGAGAGGAGAGGTGGCGTGCTGAAGATGAGAAGTTGCGTGCTGAAACGCGGGCTGAAGAGGAGAGGTGGCGTCAACTTGTAATCAGAAAGCAAGAGTCGATGCTCCGGCTGCTGGAGCATCAAAGTGATATGCTCCTGCGTATGGTTGAGCTGCAGGAAAGGCAGCAGGAGCAGAGACCGCCGCTACAGCCCCTCTGTAACCAGCAGCCATCCTCCCCAAGTCCCATTGCCTCCTCACCCAGACGCCCAAGAACACGGTGGGGGGGGCCTTCGGCCACCCACTCACTCCACCCTAGATGATTTCCATAGCAATAAGTTTTAAAGTTTTAAATTGGAGTGTGTCCTTTTCCTTCCCTCCTCCCCCACCCATCCCGGGCTACCTTTCCAATTATCCCCCTAGTTGTGTGCTGAATTAATAAAGAATGCCTGAATGTGAAGTATCAATGACTTTATTGCCTCTGCAAGTGGTGCTCGAAGGGGGGAGGGTAGTAGGGGAGGGTGGGGTGGTTGGTTTGCAGGGAAGTAGAGTTAACAGGGTGGTGGGGGAGGGGCAGAGGGTTCATCAAGGAGCAACAAACAGAAGTTTCACTCCGTAGCCTGGCCAGTCACAAAACTGGTTTTCAACGCTTCTCTGATGCGCACCGCGCCCTGCTGTGCTCCTCTAACCGCCCTGGTGTCTGGCTGCGCGTAATCAGCGGCCAGGCGATTTGCCTCAACCTCCCACCCCGCCATAAATGTCTCCCCCTTACTTTCACATATATTGTGGAGCGCACAGCAAGTAGCAATAACAATGGGGAGATTCTTTTCGTTAAGGTCTGAGCGAGTCAGTAAGCTGCGCCAGCGCGCTTTTAAACGGCCAAATGCACATTCCACCACCATTCGGCACTTGCTCAGCCTGTAGTTGAACAGGTCCTGACTGCTGTCCAGGCTGCCTGTGTATGGCTTCATGAGCCATGGCATTAAGGGGTAGGCTGGGTCCCCAAGGATCACGATAGGCATTTCAACATCCCCAACGGTTATTTTCTGGTCTGGGAAGAAAGTCCCTTCCTCCAGCTTTCGAAACAGAAGAGACTGCCTGAAGACGCGAGCATCATGTACCCTTCCCGGCCAGCCCACGTTGATGTCGGTGAAACGTCCCTTGTGATCCACCAGGGCTTGCAGCAGCATTGAAAAGTACCCCTTGCGGTTTATGTAGTCGGTGGCTTGGTGCGCCGGTGCCAAGATAGGGATATGGGTTCCGTCTATGGCCCCACCACAGTTTGGGAATCCCATTGCAGCAAAGCCATCCACTATGGTCTGCACGTTTCCCAGAGTCACTACCCTTGATGTCACCAGGTCTCTCATTGCCCTGGCAACTTGGATCACAGCAGCCCCCACAGTAGATTTGCCCACTCCAAATTGATTCCCGACTGACCGGTAGCTGTCTGGCGTTGC